TGCGTCTGGTGGTGCAGCTGGTGGAGGCGGAGGTTCTGGGGGTGGACAGCAGCAGCAGTCACGTCGACAGGAGACTCTCTCGTCGCAACAGCTTCGTAAGTGGGTTGCCCAGCGAGGCGGCCCCGGAGGCGGAGGTCGCTGCCAATACGTCCGGCGCACGGGTCCCCGAGCCGGCGATGTCTGCAGCAGGCTGGGGCACGGTGATGCTCGCTGTTTCTACCGCCTCGACGACGCCTTTCGCGCGGAGTTTGCTCAAGGTTCCTGATTGGCTAGGATTGCTCAAGAAGGGCTTAGAAGTATTTGCTCTTGATTGGGACCAGATCTCTGCTGACATGTATGCTATGTATGCTGCTGGTGCTAGTGCTGAGGGCGACTATTACTCTCGTGTGCCTAGATCTGGTAGTGTAGAGGATGCTAGTGTAGGTGCTTGTGAGACTGCTAGCACAGGTGCAGTTCCTGCGGAGGCCTTGCACACCTTCACGCAGGACTCCGGAGCGTCCAGGTGCTTCTTCCCCGACTGCACCACACTCACACCGCTCACGGCACCTGTCCCTGTTACCCTGGCCGACCCCTCCTTTGGACCAGTCGTTGCACGCGGCTTCACTGTTCTCCCGTGTCTGTCAGCCCCCTCTGTCTCCCTCATAGGTCTTCACCTCCCCTTGTTCGCTACGAACTTTGTGAGTACCGCTCACCCCCTGGCTATTTGGTCAACACCAGCACTCCTGGGGGCGAGCGCATGGCAATCTGTACGAACACAGTGACTTTCGACCACCTTGCCACGTTCACACGGACGCTTGGGTCTGGACTGTACAGACTGCACACTGAGACTGCTCAGGTGGCTGCGCCAGGTCAATTAGTTGCGTCTTGCTCGTGTCGGTTACTCACGCACCCGTCCCTCCTCTGGCACCACCGTCTTGGTCATCCCCTTCCTTCACCATCTACGTCGCATGAACTCACGTCTTCTTGTCTATGGCATTCCGCAGTCCGTGCCCCCGCTCCCGCCGTCGCTTGCGCCGCCGTGCACTCCCTGCGTTGAGGGGCGGCAGCGCACCGCTCCTCACTCCTCTTCGTTTCCTTCGACCGCCGCTCCTCTGCAGACGCTGCACATGGACGTGTGGGGCCCCGCCCCTGTTTATGGGCAGTGCCGGGAGCGCTTCTTTCTTATGGTAGTCGACGACTTCACACGCTACACCGTGGTGTTTCCCTTGCACCACAAGGGAGATTACCGTGTTGTTTTGATCCCTTGGATCCGCGCTGTTCGTCGCCAGCTGAGCGCACGGTTCCGGCAGGACCTCCCGGTGCTCCGTCTGCACTCTGACCATGGAGGTGCGTTTTCCTCCGGTCTCCTTGAGGGCTTTTGTCGTGAGGAGGGCATCACCCAGACGTTCACGCTTCCAGCCTCTTTACAGCAGAATGGGATCGCTGAGCACCGCATTGGCTTGATCATGGAGGTTGCTCGCACTTCCATGATCCATGCGGCTGCTCCCCATTTTTTTGTGGCCGTTCGCGGTCCGATATGCCTCGCATTAGCTCAACCTATGGCCCCGTGTCTCCCAGCCAAAGACCTCGCCTACCCTGATTTGGACGGGGGAGGGTTGGCGATGCGTCGGCGTTTCGGGTCTGGGGTTCGCTTGCCCTTGTCCGCGATCCTCCCGCAAGCTCTCTCCTCGCACTATTCGCGTCTTCCTTGGCTTTCCCACTGACGCGCCTGACTGACAGTTTTACCACCCAGCCACGCGTCGCGTCCTGTCCTCCCGCGACGTCACCTTTGACGAGTGCTTCCCCCACATCAGTTCCCCCGTCCCCCGCCCGCCCCTCTTTTTGGTTCCACATAACCCCCCAGTAGACCCCCTCCCCCCACCCGCGTCCTGCTCCCTCAGGTGTGTCTCAGGTCACACCACCCCCCTTGGTTGAGCCTTTGGAGGTCTCCTCAGACCCCTTTGGCCCGGCCGAGGGGGGGTGACCTTGCTGGTGACGACACAGCGGCCTCTCGCCGCCCACCTCGCTTGGAGACTCCGCCCGTCTTTGCCGCCTCTGCAGCCTGCCGCTGTGGACTCTGGTGCTGGTCCTGGGGGTGGTGACTGTGGAGGTGCGGGCTCTGGTGGTGCTGGTTCTGGGGGTGCTGACTCTGGAGGTGCGGGCTCTGGGGGTGCTGGTTCTGGGGGTGCTGACCCTAGAGGTGCTCGTACCGGGGGTGCTGGAGCTTGGGGTACTGGAGCTGGAGGTGCTGGAGGTTCAGGTGCCGGAGGTGCTGGAGCTGGAGGTGCTGGAGGTGTTGGAGCTGGAGGTGCTGGAGAATCTGGTGCTAGATGTGCTGGAGCTGGAGGTGCTGGAGGCTCTGGTGCTGGAGGTTCTGATGCGGGAGGTTCCGGAGCTGGAGGTTCTAGAGCTGGAGGTGGTCCTGGTGCTAGTACTGGAGGAGCTGGTTCTAGGGGTCTGCCACACGCTTACCCTTCCCATCTTCCAGGACTATAACTCCTGATGGCTTCACCTCCTTCACTGTCCATCGCTGCTGAGTCAGACCCACATCCAGCGCATGCTTCCGCTGCCTCCTCAGGTACACCTCCTCTTCCTCCTGTACCCTTGCCCTTGCTCCCTTTCCGCCTGCCTCCTGCCGCTGCTTGTACCTCTCAATGTCCCGAAGCTGCGCCACGTGTAGATTCTCCATTGCTGCTGGTAACAGGTGCCTCAGATAAGCCGCCCGTGCATCTGCTACCGCCACCCACTTCTCCGCCGAGCCCGTGGTCACCACATCTAACAGAAGCTTGGGAGCTCCCACCGGCATTACTGATTCCTTGCCGAACAGCAGGTAGTATGGCGATACATCTCTCAGTGCTGCCTGCTTACTGAATCGGTACCCCGCCATCACCCAGCAGAGTTTCCTGTCCCAGTCCCGCTTGTGCTCTTCCCCATAGGCCCTCAACCCCTTCTTCACTGTCTGCACCAGTCTCTCCGTCAGCCCGTCGCTCTGCGGGTGATAGCGCGAGGTGCTGCGATGCCTGATGCCTGTGGCCTTCAGCAACTCCTCAAATGCTCCCTTGAACTCCGTTCCCTGATCCGTCAGTACCTCTCCACATGCCCCCAGCCGTGTGACCACCATCTCTTCAAACGCCTCTGCTACAGCTTCTGCAGTCTTGTGTACCAGCGGTTTTGCCTCGGCCCACTTGCTGACATGCTCCACCATCAACAGAATGTACCTCCTCCCCTTCGTGGTGACCGGCAGTTCTCCTGCTATGTCCAGACTCACTATGGGAAGCGACTGCAACTCTGCCTTTTCTCGCTCCAGTACGGCTCGGTTCCGGCAGCATGCCTCACACCTCCACACCCAGTCCTTAATCTGCTACCGCATGCCTGCCCACCACCACCCTGTCTGCACCAGCTGTTGAGTTCTCAGGGGCCCGTAATGTCCCAGCTTCGTGTGTACTTCGCGTATGATGCCCTCCCGTTCACCTGGTGGCGGCACATGCTTCCAGCCCTCCCCTGTCCGCAGCTGCACTTGCCCTTTGAACCAGCGGTAGTGTTCGCCCCTTGCACATACTCTGGCGGGTACTGCCCCCTCCTCCGTTGTGGCCCCCTGGATCCACGCCAGGGCTGCCTGATCTTGCCAAATATCCGCGGGGCCTCCTTTCATCTCCCCCCATGCTTGTCCCCGGTCTGCTTCCTTTGCCATCGCCATCAGACAAGCCGAAGGCTGCACCTCCGGCGGGTTCCTCGAGAGGCCGTCCACATGCTGCATTGTTTTGCCAGGCCGGTGCTTGATCTCGAAGTCGTATTCTTGTAACTTCATTGCCCACCTGGCATTACGCCCCGTGAGATCCGGCGTTTGCATCAGCCACAACAGCAGCTGGTGATCCGTCACCAAGGTGAACTTCCTGCCGTGCAAGTATACCCGAAATTGCTTCACCGCCCACACTACCGCCAGCCCTTCCCCCTCGTATGACGAGTAGTTGGCTTCCGCCGCGTTGCAGCTACGGCTGGCAAAGGCCACTACCTTTTCCACCCCCCCCTTCATCTGGGCCAGAACTGTCCCCATGCCCGCGCTGCTCCATTCTGTGTACAGCATGAATGGCGAGTCCGCTTTCGGCAGTTCCAGTACTGCTCCGTTCTTCACTGCTCCCATGAGATCCTGCACTGCTCTCTCCTGCTCCGGGCCCCATTCCCACCTACGGTCCTCCCTCAGCAGTTGGTTCAACACGGCTGCCCGGCTGCTAAAGTTGGGCACAAACTTACGGTAGAAATTCAGGAAACCCAACAGAGCTCGCAGCGTGGTCCGGTCCTTCAGCGTGGCCACCCAATCCAACACCTCCACCTTCGCCTTCTGAATCCCAATCTTTCCCCCTTCTAATTCGAACCCCAGGTATCCCACCGTGGTCTGCCCAAATTTGCACTTCCCCGGATGGCAGGTGAGCCCCGCGCTCTGGATGGCGCTCAGTGCTGCTTCGACGTCCTGCACGTGCGAGCGGCTATCAGTGCTGAATACAATGACGTCATCGATGTAGCACGCGGCATTCTGCACGTTCCTCAGCACTTGATCCATGACCCGCTGGAACTCCGGTGCGGCTGACTTCAAGCCGAACGGCAGGAAGTTCCACTCGTACTGCCCGTCTGGCCCGTGGAAGGCCGTCTTCCTCTTGTCTGCCTCCGCAATGGGGATCTGGTTAAATCCCTGCCGCAGGTCCAACGTGGAGAAGACTAGCGCCTCTGCTAGCTGGACAAATATCTCGTCCGGCATTGGCGCCTGGTACCTCTTCATGATGGTGACCTTGTTCAGCCCTCGGTAGTCTCCACACATGCGCTTGGAGAGTACTTTCCCTGTCAGGTCCGTCCGCGCCGCCACCACCGTTGCCGCCGCATATTCCGAGTTGGATTTCCGAATGAAGCCCACCTCCATGAGTTCCTTGCATTTTTCCGTGCATATCTGCACCTCCTCCGCTGTCATCCGTCTCCGCCGCTGATAGACTGGGATCTCCGTGGTCAGCTCTATGGTGACCTCCGCCATGTTACATCTTCCCACTTCCTTCAACGTGTATGCAAAGGCCAGCCAGTGCTTAGCTAACACCTTCTTCAGTTCCGAGGCATCCTCTTCTGACAAACCCCCGCCTATCTCCCACTCCTTTTCCTCCGCCTTCTGCCGTGGCTGGCTCTCTCCATCCTCCGCGCAGTGTGAGCTCCCCGCCGGCGTCGGTTCCTGTGGCGCCTCACTCCTGCTCTTGTCTTCTTCCGCGAGTTGCCCTTCCGCCCGGGTCTCATCCTCCTCCTTTGTTGCCACCATCAGGGCGAATTCTCGGGTCCCGAACTCCCGCTCATAGCTCTCCCTGCTTCTCTGCCTTTCAATGGCCTCCTCCAGCCAATTGAAATCTTCGCGCTTCTTGTCCACCGCCGCCTCCTCCCGCTCTCCTGAGAGCCAGATCTCAGTTGGCTCCGTATACAACGCCGGTCTCTCGTCCTCCTCCTCCCAGGGGTAGACCCATCTCCTCTCCAGCGGATGCCCTCGCTCCTGCTGCACTTCCTCGTTGTCCTGCATTTCTCCTAGCATGGCCCGCGCCAGTGCCTCCTTCGCCGCTGATCTTTCTATCGGCGGTTGGACGGCTGCTGCTTTATCACGCTTTCGCTCCCACCGCAGCTGTGAGTGATACATCCATATTGTAGCTACCAACGAATGCATGACGTTTAGATCCATCGCCCTTCCCAAGGCCCTTCTCTTTTCTGCCTCCGACACCTCCGGATGAGCCGTTGCATCCTCCATAAATCCCATGGCTAGGTCCCTCTCCAGCGCCGTCGGCTCTTGCCATTCTCCCCCGGTGCAGTCGTATACCATGCCCGGTCCTGGATTTCCGTCATGCATCCTGAAGGCCGCCGCTTCCTCGTACGACACAAACGTGGGCCAGGCCTGCCTCGGCTTCCCCACTTCGTTGCACGGAAACTGCGTCGGATGGTCGGGACGTGTCACTGGGGCCGGCATCCTCCCTGGCTCCAAGATGTCCTCGACCAGCAAAGGTACCGGTCGCTCCATCAATGAGAGGCGGTACTGCAATGCGGCCTCGCTCACCCCATTCGTCCAGTAGCGGCGGACCCAGTGAGTCCTGCTTCCCGCTTGCGCCCCATCTGCCACCACGCCCGGACCCAGAGCTGTCGTGACCTCCTCCTGTGCCACTTGCACCTGCTCCCTGATATCCCCTTCCATATCCACGTTTTCCACAATGTAGAGGACGTCCCCTTGCACCCGCTTTATCAGCCTTAACACTCGCACCAGCTCCCTGAACAGGTTGCTCCTCTCGTCCCGCATGCCTCTGCCTACTCCCACACGCGAGTTGCCCTGACACTCCCATCCTGCGATTACCACGTCCATCCTCTCCCAACGCCGTATCATGGCCTCGTCTACGTGCCGTATGTCACAGGCCCCGCACTGCGCACTTACCTCCATTGACACCGAGCAGAACTGGTGTGGGTATCTTTTATGAAGCTTGTTGGCGTGGCACCATGCCATCTTCACAGCCTCCATGTCACTTTCCACCAAAATCCACTTTTCCACATACGCTCCCGACTTCAACACCGCCGCTAGCCCTGTGCCGATGCCTCCGAACAGCTCTAGCACGACCGTGGGCCCCAGCAGCCTCTTCGTGTTCATGCACAGCGCCTTCAGATCCGCTTCCCCCTCGACTTCCCTTGGTGGTGCCCCCGGCATCCTTGCAATCTGCTGCCACGTGGGAACCCCCAGCTCCTCGCGCAGCTCCGCCTCCGTGCACTGGTACGCCTCCCTCGGTTCCCTGCGTACGAATAGCACCCGCAGCGTGCCGATGGGGCCATCATCCTCCCAGTAGCGCACCCGATACTGCACCTTCTCCTCCCACATGCATATCGTGGAGCCGATCCCAAAAATGTATTCCACTCCTATCAGCAGGTCGAAATCTTCCGACTCTAACACTCCTCAGTATACCCTCAGCGTGCACTCCTCCGGAGTTCCTGGGTTTAGCATCAGCGCCATGGACTGCCTGGACTTGGGCATCCATTTCGCTTCCCCACCGTCCGCTGTCATCAGCAGGTATCCTTCTGCTATCAATCGCCCCGGCTTGTGCAGGTGTAGTTTCTCCACCAACCGCCTCCCGATGAGCACATGCGCTGCCCCCGTATCCACGATCGCCCGTTGCGCTTTTAGTCCCCCGACCGTGATCGCCCCTGGTTCAATCGTTAGGACCGTGGCTTGGCAAATCATCCGCTCTCGCGGGTGTCGATACGCTGCCCCTTCCGCATCCACGCTCTCGCTGGCCCGCATCCTTGGCCCATCCTCCCTCCGTACATCCTCCCGAAAGAGCTGCCTCCGCGCGGCTCCCCTCAAGCCTAACTCTTCCCGATCCCTTGCTGGCTGAGCCATCAACATGAATTCCGGCTCATCCGGCTCTTCCTCCTCCTGCGCCACCATTGCGGGTTGTTCTTGTTCGGCTGCCTCTAGATCCGCCAGTTGCGCCCGCAGCCGCGCCATGGTGGACTGCCTGTCCTCTCCTCCTTCTGCCCCCCGTCGCTCCTTTCGATTTGCGTAACAATCGGCCTCCCGATGCCCCTTCCGCCCGCAGCGAGCGCAGCTTGGCGCCCCCGGGCACTCCCGCCGCATATGGTCACGACTCCCGCACAACGAACATGCCGCCGGGTTACGGCAATCCCGCCGTAGGTGCCCCGGTAACCCGCAAATGTGGCAGCGCCGCGCTTCCTCTTTCCCCTTCTCCTCCAGTTCCGGGTATGCTGACGTCGCTGTCCACGCTGGCCGCCTTCTCTCAGGTCATCTCTCCGTCGTGCGCTCCACCTCATACAGCCGTCGCCCGGTTTCCACGCGCTTGACGATCTCATATGCCTCCTTCAGCGACGCCTCGGGCCCCAGTTCAAATACGCGCACCTGCATGTCCTGCTGAAGGGGCTGGCCTAGCCCGTGTATGAACTTGCCGATCAGGCGTCCTTGGTCCATGCAGTTCATATCTTCTCCCAATTCCACCAGCAGGCCATAGTATGCTAGCAGGGATTCCCCTTCTCTTCGCCTGAAGCCCCGGAACTCCACAACTCGCTCCGTAGTCTGCAGGGGAAACTGCTCGCGAAGCATCGTTAAAAAGCAAGCCGCCGGATCTCCAGCAGCCCTTCCGGCCGCCCACTCCAGCAGCTCCTTCCGCGAGATCCGATAGTAGGTTTCCGCCTCCCCCGCCAACGTATTTGCCAGGCCTCAGAAGAATTCCTCCGGATCGAGCCGATCCTTTGCCCAACGCGCCTGCAAATTCTAAGGTTCATGCCTTTGAAATGCTGACAGAGGGTGTAGAGAAGGGCGAGAGGTGGAAAACCTGTACATTTGTACATAACCGGAGCATCTGGTAGCGGGGAACAGTAAAAGCAGTGGCGAAGCGGGGCGGGTAACTTGGCAGTGGGGGTAGCACCGAGGGGATCAATGAACCTGGGCGGCGGGCTGAGCTGGGAGGGGGAGTGGCAGCTGGGTGGCAGCGAGATGACGTGTATGTGCTTGTTTGCGAATGTCGTCGTGTGGTGTGCATGTGTGTGTTTCGTTTCCTTGGCAGACACCGAGTCTAAGAGGGAGCTGGAATACAATATCGCCAGCTGGAGGCAGGGAAGCGACGAAGTGGATGGCTGGCTAGGTAAATATAACAACTACCAGTTGTTAGAGTTGCCTAGCTAGGGTTTGAAGTGGGAAGCATATGGTTGTGTCCTGGGCCATGGGACTGCCACTGCGTGTTTGTTTTCGTGAATTACTGTGATTTATTTCTGAGACAAGCAGTTACCAACGAAGCCATAGCTGCTGTCAGAATGAGTTATGAAGGGTCTGGACATGGAAGGGTCTGAACAGAAGCGGGACAAAGGCAAGGGCAAGGACAAAGTGGGGTGAGAAGGCCAAAGGCATTACCGAGGGGGGGAGGGAGAAGGAAGGAAGAGGTGAGGAGAAGGTCAGGCAAGAAGGGCTGACAGTGACAAGAGATGATGATAGGGGCAGAACTGTCCTACCATGGAAGGGATCATGAAGGATGTGAGGAGGTTTCCGACATGCACCCACTGCTGCGACCGGGACTTCTGCGCTACCCTCTCCTGCTGTGGCCATGACTCCTCTACTCTCTCATGCTGTGTCTGTAACTGCACCTGCTGCTGCGGGCGGGACTCCTGCTCTACCCTCTCCTAGTGCGACCGTGACTCCTCCTCTACTCTCTCCTGCTGCGACTGCAACTGCACCCGCTGTGGCACTCGTGACTCATCCTCTACTCTCTCCTGCTGCGGCTGCAACTGCACCTGCTGCTGCTGTGACTCCTCCTCTACTCTCTCCTGCTGCTGCGACTGAGACTGAAACTGCTCCTGCTGCTGCTGCTCCTGCTGCTGTGCCCTCTCAAACCTCTCACTCTCCTCTCTCTCCAACCGGAGGAGACGCTGCTCACGGGTCAGGAAACGTACAGTGCGCGGTGTAGGCGCCACAGTGCCAGTGCCTCTAGCTCCAGCACCCCCAGAACCAGCACCTCCACCACCGACACCCCCGGGGCCTCCAGTACCTCCCGCAGGAACACCCCCAGGCTCCGCAGCAACCGGCCGCAGAGAAGAACGAGGAGGGAACTGCGGGACGGACAGGAAGCCAGAGGATGACGCGGGGCGAGGCCGCCGAGTCGAGGCTGCCGTGTCCTCCACGGGAGTGACCTCCACGCCCACACCCCCCTGCACCCCCAGAGCCGACACCACCAGCTCCAGCAGCCCCAGTACCCTCACCCTCCGCAACTGCACCTCCCGCACCCCCAAACACAACAGGGACTGGATGCTGCGGGGGTGACAACTGCGGAGTGACGTGCGACACACCTGACGAGGCAGGACGCGAAGGGGGGGGAGCTACCGGGGCGACTGGGGGGGGCTCAAGGGCGAGGAACAGCCGGGGGGAAAAGACCTCGGTACCTCGTTGGGGGCGACTCCTGTAGTAACAGACAGACTCGTCGAACGTGACGTCCTGGGAACTGAAGAACTCGTAGGTGAGTGGGTCGTAGAACACCCAGCCGGCAGTGTCCAAAGGGAAGCCAAGAAAGATGCAGGCACGAGTTTTGGATGGTTCTGGGCGGTTCTGGACGGTTGGGCGGTTCTGGGCGGTCCTGGACGGTCCTGGGCGGTTCTGGACGGTTCTGGACATTCCTAGGCGGTCCTGGGCGATTCTGGGCGGTTCTGGGCGGTCTTGGACGTTCTTGGACGGTCCTGGGCGGTTCTGGGCGGTTCTGGGCGGTCCTGGAATGGCATGGGCGGTTCTGGACTGTTCTGGACGGTCCTGGGCGGTTTTGGACAATCCTGGGCGGTTCTGGAGGGCTGGTGGCAGGCGAAGCTGGCGGACTGCAGGGCGTACGGGGAGGGGACGCGACGGGGCTGGCGGACGAGGCTGGCGGACGGGGCTGGCGGACAGGGCTGGCAACGAGGCTGGCGGACGGGACTGGCGAAGGGGCTGGTGAAGGGGCTGGCAGTCACGATGATCCTACGGACAGCACAAAGATTGTGTAGCATTGACTACACATGTTCCCGATCCCACCTCCGTTGGTACACCACCTGACACAGTGATCACTGTACTGTAGTAGGTGGGACACTGTTCCGCAAGGATCGCCGACGTGATCCTCAAAGTTCAGCGATCTTTCCTTGGGTGTACCGCGCTCTTAGGGTTTCCCAACCACTGGTCTATTAGTGTAATACATTTCTTGATGTCAGTTTCTTCTGAATCACAATGATAGCTGAGTGCACACAGTGAGTTCGGAAAACTCGTACGGAATTTCCCTTCTTAGGAAATTGGTTGTCCCTCGAAGATTGCAGCCATTGTCAGCGTGCGACTCATGCAATCCACGTCACCACTCTTCACATCAAATCCACAGAGCCAGCGGCTGTGGCGTCATCTCACGACAACAGAGACAGCAAGAGACCCATTTCGGCAACAAGTCGCGTCGCGTGCCTCAAAGCAGCAGCTGTGTCGCCCCCATTTCATTTTTTTGGGGACGCGACGGGGCTGGCGTATGGGGGCGCGACGGGGCTGGCGTACGGAGCTGGCGGATTGCAGGGCGGCGGGGAGGGGACGCGACGGGTAGGGGAAGGGGAGGCGACGCGACAGGGAGGTGGCGGGGAAGGGACGCGACGGGGAGGCAACGGGGAAGGGATGCGACGGGGAGGCCTGCGGGGCGACTGGCTACGGGGGGGGGGGGTGGGAGCGCCTTTCAACGCGCGCGCGATTCGGGGGCCCGTGGGGGCCTTTCTAGGTCGTGACGTGGGGGGACCCGCGGGGGTCCTTCTAGCTCGCGATTCGGGGGCCCGCGGGGGCCTTCCTAGGTCGCGACGTGGGGGGGGACCCGCGGGGGTCCTTCTAGATCGCGATTCGGGGGGCCCGCGGGGGCCTTCCTAGGTCGCGACGTGGGGGACTTGCGGGGGTCCTTCTAACTCGCGATTCGGGGGCCCGCGGGGGGCCTTCTAGCTCGCGATTCGGGGGGTCTCGCGGGGGCCTTCCTAGGACGTGGCGTGGGGGAACCCGCGGGGGTCTCTCTCTAGCGCGCGATTCGACGAGGGGGGGGGGGGGGGGGGGGGGGGGGTGGGGGGGGCTGGCGCAAAGGGGTGATGGGGCACTACGGGTGACGCGTTCCTAACGGGCGAGCGCGGGGCGGTAGGCCCATGGGAATCGAACCGCTCTATACCATGTCAACGAGGTAAAGGAATAATGAATGACTAAAAATGACAAAGACAAGGAAGATATAGCAAACCCTGGTCAAACCTAGCCAACCCTAAACATAAGTGTACATTACCTAGACTAGCAAATACAAACCATAACAAATATAGTTTGACATGTACTTGCTAGGTTGTGATCATTGTACTGATATTGCTGTTATAACAGTGCATGTGAACTGGCCTTGTGGCCGCTTGCTTGTGCTCGGACTGTGTGGTGATATTGAGATCCACCCCGAGCATTGCTTTGTTTCCCTCTTGACTGGTCTTGTGTCCGTTTGTTGTTCTTGCTAGCCCCCACTTCGCCTATGGGGCTGTGTCAAATTATATATGTAGTTCTTGTTATATGCTAGTGGGGTAGCCTGTACTTGTAGGGTTAGTACTTGTATCACCTTCCTTTCATGGTTCATCATTCCGTTGCCTATCATCTTAACATGGTGTTAGAACGAAAGGTCTCGGGTTCAAATCCCGGTGAATGCACATGCTCCCGTTTGCGCTGTGCCGTGTCTCGGGCCTCCTTGTATGGGGGGGTGTCAGAAGGCCTACACTGTGGATCCCTGATTGATTCTAGGAAGGGTTACAGGCCTGTTGCTTGGGGGTTTATGGGTGCACGGATCCGCTACTTAAAAACCCATTTTATCCCAATAGTCTAGTGATTGGGACTTTTACACACACTGTTCTTTTGCACCTCCTTCGTGCACCTGTTCCCTTGATTTCCCAAGCTCATCCCTCTCTGATCGTGCTTCTTGATTCGTTCATCACACCCCCTTGCTTCTTCTCCCTCCCTGCATCACTGCTCGCATGCCTCACCGCATCCCTCAACACACGCCCTCCATCACCCAATCCCGCATCTCAACACGGGGAGTGCCCTTGAACGCACCTGTGGCGGTCGAGGAAATCAGAGTATCGGAGCCGCACCTGTGAGGCCACCTCCTCCCGCACGAACGAGCGCAGGTCGCCATTCCAAATGCTCCACCCGCTCTGGTGCGCATGCACGCCCTCCAGCAGCACGCGCAGCGCCTGCACTCGCTTTGTGAACGCCGCCACGTCACCCCGGTGGTCCAACAGCACAGCCGACACCTGACGGGGTGGGTGGTGGGGGGACGAGCATGGGCATCCGTGGTGCGCATGCGTGTGCTGTGAGAACTCTCAAAGCGCATCTGGAGATTGGAAGTCAGCCGACATGGAGCGGACGAGCGCCTGAGGCTTGCTTCAACAAGGCTTGCACGTCCCCTCGATGATCCGATGAAGCGGTGGCCGCCTGATAGGATGTTGCTTGGGGGCAACGATGGGTTGTATGGCTGAATGAGATCAGCATAGTTCTGAGGGTTCCTGCCAGCAAGCAGGCCATATCAGAGCACAAGCGTGCACCTTTGTTACTATGCACCGCATGCCACATCAGCTTGGATGTCCTCCAGTGGAGAAAAGGAGACCCACAACCTCGATTTGAGCTTGGAATGAACAGATTGTGACAGTATAATGTGTCAAATGAAATATGCGTGAGCCGTTGATGATATGTGAACCGTCCTACCAACCTGATGGTCCGATTCGAATGCTGGAGAAACCATTCCAGCTGAATTGAGTTGAACTTTGATGAACTGACCATTCGTGAAATTTGCAAGTTAAGCGAGGAAACCAACAGATAAATGTCGTTGTGTTCCCACCCTATTTACAATACCTTGAATGTAGACATCTCACCTTATTCACAATAAATCAAATGTAGGCGCCTCACCTTATTCACAATACATCGAATGTACACGTAATGTACAATACATCGAATGTAGCCCAAAAGAGACCTAGCCAGGATCACCTCACGTTGTTCGCACAATGTTAATGTAGCGGAATTGAGTGACCTCAAATAAGAGTGAATGTAAATGACTGAAATGATTTTATCAAAATCATACATGGGTTTATATAGGGAATACGAAATGTCATAAACTAGCCATGTACTATAAGGGGTACGTTCCCTTATTGCAACGAAATTCAACCGTGCGGAGCGGGAACCGATTGCGAACCTGTTCCCGCCAATCCCTTGGCGATGTAGCTGCCCGATGCTTCTGCCGCTGACGGTCCATATGCTCCCAACTGTACGTGACGTTTCGCGTCACTCTGGCTCTTCACATTCGTACTCGATAGTGCAGGTTTTCTTGTTACGAACAGGAATGCACTGCACTTTGATTTCACTTATCGTAACATAGATGTCTCGCCTTATTCACAATATATCAAATATAGACGTCTCACCTTATTCACAATATATCAAATGTAGACTCCTCACCTTATTCACAATGCATCGAATGTAGGCGTCTCACCTTATTCACAATACATCGAATGTAGATGTTTATGTGCTTCTCAAGGTCCTTTGCGTTTTCATCCACCCATGCCCGTCCAAATATCATCTTCACATGCTGCCTGCCATGCCCATCAAATCACATGCGCACATCATTATTCCTCCTGCATACACAACCACAAGGTCATTATAACACCGCATCTCTGCAATTCTTTCATTTTTTTCGACCACCAACAGTAATGATAAAAATAACAGCAGCAGCGATGGCAGCGGAGGCGGCTACTGCAGCAGAAGCAGCAGCAACAACAATCGGAGCGGCCGACTGGATCTCAGCCTGTCTTCAAGGCGTGCCACATGGCTAGAGGCTTCATTCAGCGTGAGGGAGTTGACTTTTTCCATACCTTCGCCCCGACCCCGAAAAAAACTACTCTTCGGGTGTTATTTCACGTTGCAGCACAGCGAGACCACGAGCTGCACTCACTGAACTTCTCTCTGCCTTTCTTCAGGGCTGCCTACATGATGAGATCTGGCTGCGTAGTCCCCTGGCTTTACTGGCACTTTCCCGCCTCGGACCCAGTGGAGCCTGAGACGGCTAGTCTACGGTCTCCGCTAGGAGCCTCGTGCGTGGCACGACACTCTTCGCTCCACACTTGCTGACATCGGGTTCCGTCCTTCGTCCGCCGACCCGTCGCTGTTTGTTCGCAGTGGTTCCACTCTGTTCTTTGTTATTGTCTACGTCGACGACGTAGTCTTCATTACACCAGACCTGGGTGAGTTGCTCCGCTATCTTGGTTTGCATATCACCAGGAACAGAGCCGCTCGCACCATTACACTTTCCCCGTCACACATGGTGCAGTAGGTCCTTCTGCGGTTTGGGTTTCAGTTCTTTACCACACAGCCCACTCCTCTTGCGGTCGACCATCGATTCACCAGCCCTTTTTCCGACGAGCCCTTTGAGTCCAGTGGTCCCTACGCAGAGCTTGTGGGCTGCCTCATGTACCTAATGACATGTGCTCGTCCGGACCTCGCTTTTCCCTTTAGCATCCTGTCTCGCTTTGTTGCGACTGGAAGACACCGTCCTATTCACTGGACGGCTGCTGTGAGGGTGGCAAAATACCTGGGGACTACATCAGGCATGTGGCTTGTGCTTGGAGGGACACAGCCAGTTGTGCTCACCGGTCACTACGACACTTCCTACGCCGACGACGTGCACACTGAGCGGTCTACTCAGAGGTACTGCTTCAGCTTGGGCGCTGGAGCTGTGTCGTGGAGGTCTACACGGTCGTCGTCTGTGGCGCAATCTAGCACAGTGGCAGGGATTTATGCCGGTGTGATGGCTGCGCAGGAGCTTCGCTGGTTAACCTTCTTGCTCACCGACCTTGGTGAGCGGTCGATCTCTACTCCGACCTTGTTCGCTGACAACAAGGCCATGATCCTCCTGTGTCAAGAGCCTCGACTGGAGATCAGAGTGAAGCACATCGACGTGAGTTACTTTCTCATACGAGAGTTGGAGCGATGCGGCCATGCGCGCTTGGACTTCGTGGCCTCAGCAGCCAACACTGCAAACATCTTCACCAAGGCCCTTCTGCCTGGTGACCATCATAGGTTCTGTCAGCAGTTAGGGTTTGTTGAGGCAGGTCCTCGATTGCTGTTGTCTTGCCTCTTGTTTCTTGCTCTGTTTGTCCTTGTATTATTTGTGAACTCTTGAACTGGGTTTGTGGCCGCTTGCTTGTGCTCAGACTGTGTGGTGACTTCGTGATCCACCCTGATCTTTGTGTTGTTGCATCTCTTGACTGGTCTTGTGACCATCTGTGTTTGTTGCGCTTTCTTGTTGTCCCTCACTTAGCCTATGGGGGATGTGCCAAACTATGTCTGTTTGTGTGATACGCTGTAGTGAGGGACATTGTAGGGAGGATAGCATTTCAAGGGTTTGTGTTTGTACTCTCACCCTTGCTAATCCAACCATTCCGCTGTTACATTCTGAGAGGTATGACTATGAATAGGTGCACTTATTTCCGAACCATGATTAGCGTTTTTTCTGATGCGCTTAGAAGGTAACGCTATGGCGTTTTTTTGCAGAATGCCAGGTGAAAACATACTTTTGGGGGATCGAAATGGGGTGTGAATGGCATCTCCATTAGCTGTACAGGAACCTGTTGATATTATTATTTGTAGGGAAACAATGCCACTCGAAAGAAACATGGGATAACGTTTCTGGTAGAATAAGAACGCGTGCAGTCATGCTCTGACAGAATCGTCCGGTTTGTCACGAATTTTCGGGCTGACTGGGTGACAGTCAGCGAAAAATCGGCAGGTCCTTTTTGTGTAAGCGAGATTGAGTCGCCTGAGCTGACCTTTGCGTGCACTCCACTACACTCTGTCGCCCGGCCTCGCCATCCGCAAATAATTGCGGACCGCCCACCTCGGCAACGTGCGGCCGTCACGCTACGCTCCACTAGTACCTCCCCTCCCAGCGCGCACGACACGCGGCTTCATCGCGCCATCACCACCAGCTCCCCATGACGATGACCACTTATTTAAACCCGCTCGTCTCCTCTCGTCCATATGCTCTCACCGCTGCCGTTTCACTTCACACCTCACTGCCTTGCTTCCGCCGCCAAGTACCAATCCGATCCTCGCCAGCAAGCTGCCACTCCTTCCCTACAAGGCGCGTCTCCGTCTCGTGCACTCGAAAGGCTAAACGACGAGCTTCGAAGCCTCGAAGCGCGCGTAGAAGCCCACCATCATTCGTGCGGCGTCACGCCTCGAAGCCACGGTGGAGTAGAGGAGCTTTCTCAACAGCGTCGGGCGTTCAAGCCTCAGCATCTCGTTGCGCGCTGTCCGTCGTCCCCATGGCTCGCTCGCTCTCTGCAATTGCGCTCGTCGCTGGCCTGCTCGTCCTGCTATGTAACGCCTGTGGGCTGTGTTAAGGGAATTCTTCTGCGCCAAATAACACCCTTGTTTTAACACCCTTGTTCTACCCTGGAAAGGCAGAGTTGTCAATGAATAAAGTGCGCGGAAGTCAATAACGAGTTGTGATTACAACCACTGAGCAAACAATGAAGCCTAGCAGTAATATAAACCAGGACCTTGATACGTGGGGACCTCAGATGTTGAGGCTGGGTGCTGGCCTGGGATTGCCGAGTCCGAAGGCGATGCGAGTCACGACCGGGAGGCGAGGCGATCGCACCGAGCCTGGTCCTCCGAAAGGAGGTGTTATACTGGTTTCAGAGCCTAGGGTTCAAATCCCGGCGGGTCCACACTTTCCGCCTGTGGCGAGAACTGAATTGTGGTTACCAGCTCGAACCCAGTGAACGGTCCTGGAATGAAGTTCCTGCGGGTGCCGACTCCCTGAAGTTGAGGGCCAACGGGGACGTTGACAACCAGGGGGGGACGAGTGTAACGCCTGTGGGCTGTGTTAAGGGCATTCCGCTGCGCCAAATAATACCCTCGTTTTGACCCAGTGGGTAGCGAGGTGTTATATGCTCGGTACGCTCCTCTCCCTGCTTACGCCCCACGTTCCAAGATTGTTCCGTCACACTCGTGTCGTGTCTCTTATTTCGGCGTCAATCCGCAACTGCGCTGTCGTCACCCCTCCCTCCCCACCGCCACCATGTCGTCCCTCGCGCCCTGCGCTTCTCTCGCATCTTTGTCTGCCGATCGCATTGTGGCCGCCCGCCTGCCGTGCTGTGCACTGCGTCCGATCATCGCCCCCGCCGTCCGATCATCGCCCCTGCCGTCCGATCATTGCCACTGCCGTCCGATCGTCGCCCCTGTCGTCCGATTTGCCCCTGCCGTCCGATCATCTGCTCCTCAGCCGCAACTCACGCAGAGGTACGCTTCGCCTTTCGCCTCTCGCCTCTCGCCTCTCGCCACTATCCTTTCCTCTCTCTACTAGGTTCGCCCGCCCCGCCTGATTCTGCTTGCCATCGCTTGCGCCTCCCGTACTGCCCGTCCTCGGCACGTGCGTTTGAGTCTCAACGCACATGCTGCGCCACTCCTCCCGCTTCCCCTCTCCCATTTCCCCGTGTCCGTCCTGCTCATGCGCATGCTGCTCGGCGCGTCACTCTGTTTTCGTCGCGTTTTTTCTCGTCCTTACCAGTGCCTATGACGTGCATTCTGTTCCGTGCTAACCTCGTGCACATGCGAGCACATCTGCAAAAGGGCCTGGCAAGAACGTTGATTATCAACGTATGGCCGTCCATGATGTATGGCCGTCCATGATGTATGGCCGTCCATGATGTATGGCCGTCCATGATGTATGGCCGTGCATGATGTATGGCCGTCCCATGTGCATTCACGCTGCCCCACGCACACAGGCGCGTGAAATCGTGGTGGGCGGCAACAAGGGGTGGGCGTACGGTGTGAGCGGATGGAAGCCCACCCCTGCTGCCCGTGCAGGCGATGTGCTCGGTGCGTGCCCCTCACATGCGCTGCCACTACACTCCTCACACCTCCCCTCGCTGAATTTCCCTTCATCGGTCCCTGCGCCTTCGCTGCTGCTTGCAAGCCCCGTGCGCTTGCTCTATGCTCGCCCCATCGTTGCACCCAAAGTTCGCCACCTTGCCTTAATGGCCGCTTCATGCACTCCCTTACCTCACGCCGGGTCCCGTATCTATGTGCAACACATATCACTTGTGCTCCCCTGCATCCCATATGCGCGCTGCGTGGCGTGCATGGCATGGCATGGCATGGCATGGCATGGCATGGCATGGCAGCATTCAAGTCCACGAGCTACCACGACGTGTGGCGCATGAGCAGCGCTGCTGCCTACAAGAGCTGCGACTTCAACGGTGCCCAGGAGAAGTCACACTTGGGCTTTAACAAGACGTACAAGTGAGCACCACGCTTGTGTCCGCTTCCCTTGCCGACTCGCTTTTGTGGCCTTGGCTCACGCTTGTTTTCTCCCTTGCTGACTCATGTGTCCTCCCTTGCTGACTCATGTGTCCTCCCTTGCTGACTCATGTGTCCTCCCTTGCTGACTCATGTGTCCTCCCTTGCTGACTAATGTTTTCTGCCTTGCCGACTTTCCTCTCCCCCTTTCTTGACTCACGACTCCTCCTCTTGCTGACCCATCCATGTGTCCTCCCTTGCTGACTCACGCCACCTCCCTTGCTGACTCATGAGTCATGACGCTTCCTTGCTGCCTCATGCCCGCCCCCTTGCTGAATCATGCCGCCTCCTGCTCTGACTCGTGCCGCTCCTGCTCTGACTCCTGCCGCCTCCCGTTCTGAATCATGCACCATTACAGTATCATACATCCTTCCCTTGTTCGCTAGTCAGTAAGATGCAGGTTGAGCCTTCGCAACTGCCACCATGGGCCAGGGGAAATAGCTCGGGATACCTGTCAACAACCTAGCCATGCTTCTTATGCCTGAATACAAGTTTCTGTGTTGTGTTCCGCCCGTCACAGCTCTTTCACTGCCTGTCTTGCCCAATTTGCGCGACTTGGCCCTTAGTTCAGGTTCACAGTGACGGAAGGGGCAAGGGGCAGCACACGGTACTTCAGCTGCAAGGTGTACGGCCACTGTGGGCTCAACATGAAAGTGGCCGTTGCCGTGCACAAGTGAGGATATTGCTCGCTAAGCAGGAGTAGCCTCTTACTCCAGAGAGTCTGACTGAGCTGAGCCGCACATCAGTTCGTGAGCCTTACTGGGAGAAGGCCCTACGTACAGAAGGCCCTACGTACTGGTGCGCATCCTTTTGAAAGTGAAGCATTGTGTGCCTTTTGCTATTTATAGTTTCCAGGAATACAATTTCCATAAGCAGGTGGAATGCTTGGATCGGGTTACCCCTATCTGAGTCAATTCCTTTGGTAAGTGAATTTCCAGGCCTGGAAGTGTTACCTACTTGAGCACATAGAAACACTTGCTTGAGAACAAAATGTAGGCAGGAAAGATGTAGTTCTGTAGCAGTGCTAGTCACTGCTCTGCGCGACCATCATTAGTGCTTGCACTGTCCTGGTAAGACAGAATGATGAACGTTGACACATTCCACCCCATAGCCTGTCTGATGCTAGCATTACAGCATGAGAAACCTCCCTCGTGCTGTTCTCATCACGCTCCTTCATGCAGGGCACACCTCATGCATGCTTCTTCATGTCGAATATCTCCGTCAGCCATGCGTGCATCTCCTGCCGTGTCAGCACTCGCACCTTGCACGCTCGGCTCTCCACGATAGACCTGCCATGCCATGCCATTTCATGTCATGTCGAACCGTGCCAACGAGTCATGCCAAGAACACACAGAAGAAGCCAAATGCTATGAGATGGAGCTGACATATGGCATGTGTGCTGCATGTGTGTGGTGTGCGTGTCGACATGTGTGTGGCATGCATGTGGCATGCATGTGGCATGCATGTGGCATGCATGTGGCATGTGTGTCGCGAGTGGCCTGCCAGGACTTTGGACAACCCACCGTTTCCACCCACCCCATCAAGGAACACACTCTTCTCTTGCACCTCCATCGTGCACCTCTTCCCCTCGATTTCTCCCAAGCTCATCCCTCTTGACTCTTCAACGCCTCCCCTTCTTGCTGCTTCTCCCTCCCTTACTCCGCACATGCCTCACTACCCCACCTCCACCACATCCCTCAACACGCTCCCTCCATCGCCTCAACGGCACCGCAACACGGGGACTGGGAGTCCCCTCCAGCGCACCGCAACACGGGGAGGGAGTGGGAATGGGAGTGGGAGTGGGAGTGCTCTTGAGCGCACCTGTGGCGGTCGAGGAAGTCGGAGTATCGGAGAAGCACCTGCGAGGCCACCTCCCCCCGCACGAACGTGCGCAGGTCGCCATTCCCGATGCTCCACCCGCTCTGCTGCGCCTGCACGCCCTCCAGCACCCCGTGCAGCGCCTGCACTCGCTTTGTGAACGCCGCCACGTCGCCCCGGTGGTCCGACAGCACAGCCGACACCTGACGGGGTGGGTGGTGGGGGGACGAGCATGGGCATTCGGTGGTGTGTGCTGGTGTGCTTTGAGAATGGAAGTCAGTTGGCAGGGAGCGGAGGAGGGCCTGAGGCTTGCTTCAAGAAGGCTTGCACGTCCCCTTGACGACCTGGAAAGCGGTGGCCACGTGATTGGGGTTTTGCTTGGGGGCGCCACGAGTGGTTGTATGGTTGTATGAGATCACCATTGTCAGATGGTTCCTGCCAGCAAACAGGCCATATCAGATCACGAGTGTGCATCCTTGTTGCTGTGCACCACATGCCACGTCAGCTTGGATGTCCTCCAGTGGAGAAAAGGAGGCTGCAACCTCGATTTGAACGTTCAGGGAATAGAATGTATGACAGTAAAATGTGTCAAATGAAAGCGGCGTGAGCCGTTGATGAAATGGGAGCCAACCTGATGATCTGATTCGAGTGTTGGAGATGCCATTCTAGTTGAATTGAGTTTAGAAAGGAAACCAATAAGAGAAATTCGTTGTGTTCCCATTCACATACCTTGATTGAGTGTAGGTGTCTCACCTTATTCACAATACCTTGAATGTAGACGACTCACCTTATTCACAATACATCGAATGTAGACGTCTCGGTGCTTCTCAAGGTCCTTTGCGTTTTCATCCACCCATGCCCGTCCAAGGATCATCTTCACATGCTGCCTGCCATGCCCATCACATCGCATTACATAACATCACATACACACCGCATTATTCCAGCTGCATACACAATCACAAGCCCATAAAAACACCGAATCTTTGAAATACTATCACTATTACTTCCACCAACAGTAATGATGAAAATAACAGCAGCAGCAATGGCAGGGGCGGCAGCGGCAGCAGCAGCAACAACAACGACAACAATAGTAGTAAGATAAAAAAAACAACAACAACAACAACCAGAACAAAGAGAGCGAGTACATCCAGCACACGGAGCGACTCACTCCTCCACCTTGCGCTGGATGTACTCGCAGTTGTTCATCAGGAACACGGCGCGCATCGCCTCATCGTGAAACACGTCTCCCTTGCGCTCCAGGTTCGCCTTGAGCGCCGCCAGCAGGTGGCGCGTGGCGGCGCCCACTCGCACAGCGCCCTGGTGGTGGTCGCCCCCCTCGTCGTACACCAGCAGCAGCGTGCCCAGATACAGCGTCCTGTGGGGGGAGCAACAGCCAGGACGGATTGGGAGGGGCGTGTCGGGTGGGGTGAGGGGAGATAGGGGGGAGTAAAAGGGAAGGGCGGGAGAAGAGGGGAGAGCATTGGGGTGGGTCGCCTCATGGGAAGCAGCATTGTCAGTACACATGAATGAAGGTCATGATCCATACAGGTGAACGGGGAGCAGATGAAGCTAATCACGCAGCTGACCAGCTCATGCGCATGCCAGCTTCATCCATCCATGGAGTGTAGGGCGTGTACAGACACGACGGCGAAATGTTAAGACACACTTCATTCTTTCAGGTGAGCACGGATCCCAGCAGAGTGCAGGGTATGGTTACAATACAAGTAACGTCACATGAGGAAGGCGCCACGCACTCGTCAAAGTAGAGGAGGATGAAGTTCACCACGTAGCTCGTCAGCGGGTGCACGTCCGGACTGCCTCTCACAACCACCTCCTGCCCCGCCGACCCCCCGCCCTCTTTGCTCTCCGCCTTGCTCTTCCCCCGTGCCTCGCCCTTGCCCTCCTCGTGCCCCTTGCTGACCTTCTTCGGCAGCAGCCCCCCCAGAATACCCCTCCCGCTCGACGCGCTGCCGCTCACCGTCCGATTGTGTGACCCACCGCCCCCATGGTGCGATCGATGGCTGGAATCCGATCTGTGGCTCGAGTCCAGATCCTCCTCCCCGTGACTCCCCCCTCCCCCTCCCCCCTCCCCCTCCTCTCCCTTCCTCTCCTCCCCCCCTTCCTGCCCAGAGGCTGAAACCAAAGGAGGAGGAGGGGGGAAGGGGGGCGAGGAGGAGGAGGTGGAGGAGGAGCGGGGGAGGGGGGGGTTGGGGGCGGGGGGAGGAGAGGGGTCGAGGAGCACGATGTGCTGGAAGTCAGCGATGGTGCCCCTCACCGTGCGGCACAGCGCCGCACAGATGCCCACCAGATGCTGCCGCACCTCGCCACCTGCCTCCCCGGGAAACTGCTTCTCCACCTGCCGGGAGACAGGTTGGGGAGGAGGAGTGGGGAATGAGGAGGTGGGGCCAGAGGCAAGGGGCAGTGCAATGCAAGGGATACACCAGAAGGGCTGACAGGATGCGAACATGCAACTGGCTTGCTCCAGGGTAGGGTGTATCAGTGAAGTTCACCCACGACTGGATTACAACCAAAGATGCTTGAACACACCTTCTATTGACCAACCCACTGTGAAGTGGGCACCCCAGGCGAATCAAGTTGGTTTTCAAGGTGTGGGGCGGAGCGCGGAAGGGAGGAGACTCGGAGAAGGCATTGCACCGTGCAACCCACAGGTGGTGCAGGGCGGGGCATGAGTGAATGACTCACAGCAGGGCGGAGGTCGAGCAGCGCCTCCACCATCTCGAGCAGGGAGAAGACGTGCTCGGGTGCGCGCGGCATGTCAGCGATGATGTCACCAAACGCGTGCAGCTGCTTCAGTGCCGGCACCGCCACGCCCGTCAGACACCGCGCCCGTGCCGAGGGGGAGGGGGAGGGGGAGGGGCCTCGCCCGATGATGTCGCTGCACAGCGCCTCCTCTGCTGCGATCAGCACCAGCATCTGCACGCACACAGACGAGGACCGCGGCTACTAAGTGTGTCAACAGTAGGTGGCCGTGGAGAACGAGCCTTGCGGCATGAGCTGATAGGGGTGTAGCTGCTACAGTGGTGGCAGCACCGCAGCCGTCACCGTCAGGCAACGACCAACGGGAACAGGAGTGGAGTGGGAGGAGGAGTTACGCAGGAGAAGGAGAGAAACAGGAGAGGGGGAGAAAGCAGGAGAGGGAGAAAAGCAGGAGAGGGAAAGAGAAGGGGGGGATGGAGAGAAGCAGGAGAGGGAGAGAAGTGAATACGCAGCGTGCAAGCCTCTCAGCACGAAGGCAAGACCAGAGCGGACTCGAGAAAAGCTGGGGCCAAGCCACCCCTCTTACAGAGCCGCCTGGCCTCGTAGCGCCACCTTGCGACTGGCTCAGTGCTCATAGCTATTCTCCACCCGTTGTTACCGTGAGTTTGAGGTTCTCCACCCATCGCTTCATGAGGGGCTCGAGGTCGGCCCACGGCAGCGCCACCACCTCGTCGCGCGTCCGCGCCGCACTGCCCAGACGCTCCAAACACCTCAGCAGCGCTGCTGACCGCTGCTCCCTGCTCTCAGCAATGGGCATAGGTGGGGAAGAGGGGAGAAGTGGGTGTGGGGAAGTGCGTGTGGTGTGGGGAAGTGCGTGTGGTGTGGGGAAGTGCGTGTGGTGTGGGGAAGTGCGTGTGGTGCGGGGAAGTGCGTGTGGTGCGGGGAAGTGCGTGTGGTGTGGGGAAGTGCGTGTGTGGGGAGAGTGAGGGGGAGGAGAGGGGGAGGGGTTTTTGAGCGGATGGGAGGTTAAAAGGTGTTGATGGGGGACGAAGGACGGGGATGACACGTGTTTTGACATCAAAGACCCCGAGATGGGTAGGCATACGATGTGCATTGACGGGTCGATGCGCCGCACATAGGAACAATGAGAAGCAAACACGAACACGACTCACTCGTACACTCGCAGGCATGCTGCCTCGTACTCATTGCCCACCATCCACGCTGCCATGGCCCGAAGCGGCTTCACAGCCTCGGGCCGAACCAGAGGTACGGGCGGCACCGCCTCGCCTGGCTTCATGCACGCCGCGGATTGGACGAGCGCCTTCCGATCCGGTACCAGGCTGCACGCCAGGGAGAACGATGGTGGGGTGCGGTGGTGTGGGGTGGGGTGGGGTGGGGTGGGGTGGGGGTGCGATTTGGTGGAGTTGAGGTGGGGGGCGGATGGATTGGGGAGGGAGTGGGGAGAGAGTGGGGAGCGAAAGGGACGGCATGGGAAGGGAGGGTGGAGGGAAGGCGGAACGAGGGGGAGGGCGGCGGAACGAGGGGGGGGGGGCGGCGGAACGAGGGGGGAGGGCGGCGGAACGAGAGTGGAGGGAGGAAGGAACGAGGGGGGAGGGATGGGGAAGGGGATTGGAGGGAGGGCGGAACGAGGGAGGGGGGGTGGGGAAGGAGACTGGAGGGAGGCGGAACGGGGAGAAGCGGGGGGGAAGGAGAGAGTCGGGAGGGGGTAACGAGAGGGAAGGAAGGGGGAAGGAGATTGGACGGAAGGGGGGGGAGGAATGAGGATGGAATGAGGAGGGCATGGACAGCACTAACAAGCGAACACCTACCCTAGCCCACCTTGCACCGGACAGCACCTCTCCGAACTCCTCTTTCAGTCGCCCCACCGCATCGTCCATCAGCCCCCTCCCCTGCCGCAGCTCCACGCGGCAGCTGCCCAGATAGCTGTGCGCCTCGAAGAACCGCAGCGCGTCCGACAGCTTATCGAGCGCCGTGAGGTACGGGTCTAGCCGGTTCTTAGGGCCGGGCGCGAGATCTGGCGCCACCTGATTGGTCGGGACGGGACGGAGGACGGAACAGACCCCCATCTTACTCTCCGAAAGGATAGGCGGTGAACGTTTTCCTACGTATGAGCCAGTAGAGAAAACCTACTAAAAGTCGGCAATGTGATACTGATGCTTTATAACGCGTACCAACGTGGGCGTGTCAAGCTTCTCAAGAAGAGTCCGTGGGTCTCGTTTAACGATGTTCTCGAAACCCTTGTTACCAGAACCGCCCGTTACAACGCCATTCGCCGTCTCCACTTCACAACTCTCCTCCCCCCTTTCCGCGGCATCACCACTCCCGCGCATCACGGCTTCCACCACGAATCCGCTACGCTAATTGAAGAGTGCGCATCGAACGAGTTCTTACGATAGCCTATGGCGTCCTCACATTGTGGTACCTAAGGCAGGTCAAACCCTTTTCACATTCGTTCATGAAGATAGCCTCATTGCGAATTCTGTATCACCGAGGTTGCTGAGTTCTGCTCTTGAAACGACTACTGAAATGCAGTCGCAATCAGGCCTGTCGATTGACGGGCATATGCCCTCAATGCCCTGAAATTCCGGGCTACGTTTGCTCCAGCTCGACTGCATAAAGTGTTAGGATCGCCCTGCACCCGTGACACTAAGTGCTTCGTTCGACCCTTTCCCGGATACGTTAAGTGCTCCAACCAGGCCTTCCCCACCCACAAAGTTTTGATTTCCGGTTCTAGGACCCCCCCCCCCCCAAGAAATTCTGCCTGACCCCCCCACTCCCCCCCCTTTCTCCTTAGGTTCAACGAGAGCGCGCCAAGGGGATTTTTCCCTTAGCGTTTTCTAAACCAATCCCGTGTTCGTGATATCTCTAAGTCAGCTTTGGAGCAGCCGAACTTTCCCTTAGCTAAGATAGTGTAGGTGCAAGCCCGGATATCAAGTTTTCACTTTGGCCTGCGCCCGTGACCGTTAAGGGCGCCAAAACACTCAGCTACGGCCAAAACAGGGTCAGATAGGGAGGAGCTGGGGACTCCAAGTATGGGCCCCAGGAACTTCGACAGGCCTGGTCGCAATCGCGCTTTCAAGCTGTGGCATTTGTGTTGCAGTTAGGGCATTCGCTCACAGCGTGTCCCATCTGAGCTGGTCTGCCACAGTTTTTTGTAACCCCTGGTCCAAGTTCTGGGCCCATGGCGGACCAGTTTGTCACTTGATGGACACCCCGTCACAAATCACTCGATTCTGATGCTCGATTCATTTCATCTTGTTCGAGCATCAGAATGCACCGAAAAAAATCACTGCTCGAATTTTTTGTTCCTGCTTCCAAAAAGACGCACCCTTAGGGCGTGTTCCCTATATCTGAAAATCGAACTTTAATTTGTAGCAAACGTTCGCGAATGTTGTTAGCTGAATTCGCAAATCCCCCTCTGGTTGGTGTCCACGCCGTAATACACTTCGAATTCGGATCCGTCACCCTCGCTAGTTTTCGAAGGTTCTAACTGGCATGATTTTGAACATGTCCGCCATGCGATTTTCCCTTAGCATCAAGCGATGACTACGCTAGACTGCACTGCATCATTGAACTGCACAGAATGATTCTCCATCTTATCAAATGACTTTCATTGGTGAAAAACAACACCACAGCAATGCACTACACACGACTGAAAAGATACAGTATCAGAGAGGCCACTGAGGGAGGCTGGCTACTAAGCTTCTAACTGAAACTGGGGCTTGAGAGGACAGTGTTGCAGGAGGCGAGTCAGAAGTCAGAGTGCATGCGGGCGGCATGGGAGGATCCGTGTGCTGACGCGCTCTCATGGTGCTTCAGCCGAGAGAATGCGCCGGATAGCCGCTCAATCTCCTGCGGCAGAGGGGGAGGTGCGATGTTGGTGCCACACGCAGGTGCGAGAAAGGTTTGTGAGGTGTTGGATAGAGCAATTGGTTGAATGCGCCTACAAGTATGTGGCACTTGTAAACACACTTGGCATTGCCGACATACAGATGGCATGCAGCACATGTCTCACATGCATGTGAATACACGTGTCATACATGCGCATGGCTGATGTCAGCCGTTCACATGCATACACCTTGGGTGCCCACATGTACTAGCTGCTACCACAGACAGGGTCTCCAAAGGGCGCAACGTCACAACCACTCCCACCTGCTTTCGTTCAACTCGCTCTACTTGCCTTCCATTCCGGTTTCACACTCCCTCAAGAAGTGTGCATGCATGCCATACCTGCCAGGCAGCACGCTGTGACACATCTATAACGTCTTGCACCATCCGTAATCACACGCCCTTCATCTTTCTTCACAAGCCCATAACTCCTTGTTTCTGCATCTTCACACCTGTACCTCGCTTCGGTTTTATTCACGGCCATACCTCCTTGGTTCGGTTGTATTCACGCGCAACAGCGAGGAATTCTTGGTTGGAGGTGAGCTGCTCCAGGCGCACACGCTGGCAGCAAGGGACGAGGCAGCGGGGAATGGGCAGAGGGGAATGGGCAGAGCGGGAAGGGGCAGAGGGCGAAGGGGCAGAGGGGAATGGGCAGAGGGGGAAGGGGCAGAGGGGGAAGGGGCAGAGGGGAATGGGCAGAGGGGGAAGGGGCAGAGGGGGAAGGGACAGAGGGGGAAGCGGCAGAGGGAGAATCGGCAGAGGGAGAATGGGCAGAGGGGGAAGGGACAGAGGAGAAAGGGGCAGAGGGGGAACGGACAGAGGGAGGGGAAAGGGGCAGAGAGGGAAGGGGCAGATGGGGAAGGGGCAGATGGGGAAGGGGCAGAGGGCGGGGGAGCAGATGGGGAAGATGTAAAAAGGAAGGGGGAGGCAAATTGGAAAGAGCAGAGAGGGGAGGAAAGCTGGAAGTGGCAGCAATATGGCGAGTGCGTTGCAGTGACGTAACATGAGAGGCAATGCAGGTGTGTGTGCAAGGTGTAGCAGGGCAGAAGAGCAGAGAAGTAGCACTCACTGCTTGGTCTCGCGCCAAGCTGACTTCAGCCTTGCGCGCCAACAGATGGCTCCTGGGGGAGCAGAGAGAACATCATGCATGGCCAGATGAAACGATTGACATCGGAGGAAGAACGGGGATTTGGTAGTGCGGATGGTGCATGGCAGTGCGGATGGTGCATGGCAGTGCGGATGGTGCATGGCAGTGCGGATGGTGCATGGCAGCATGGATGGTGGATGGCAATCAGAGGAGCGAGTGGGCTCACCTCATGTGCTGCAGTGGGCTCACCTCATGTGCTGCAGTGGGCTCACCTCATGTGCTGCAGTGGGCTCACCTCATGTGCTGCAGTGCTAGCACGGTGTCTCTCGTGTACGTGGCCGCTCGGATCTGCTGCTCCACCGCTCTGCACCGCGCCGCAGGCAACATGGGAGACCAGGCATGGGGAAAACGCAAGTGTGAAAGAGGGTGGCGTGGCATGGCAAGGCCACATGTCACACCATCATGACCATATGTAGGGGTTGTCAAGAATGCTATGTTGGCCCAACCACCTCGTATGGTCAACACACACAACTCGCCCACCAGGCTGGTCCTGCTTCCATGCCTGCTTGACTTGGTGGATTAGGGTTCTCTCCCAACCTTCTCTAGATTGATATTTTGAACCCGGATCTTCTGAATGCTTAAGATAATTTCACCTCTTAACCCCTCCCTCTTACTCTCCCTCCCCTCCACTCTCCCCTTCTCACACACCCCTTATGCTCACTCTTCCTTGCACTGCAGCAGCGCAGCGCTTGCCTCCAGCAGCTTACAGCGCCTCCCATCCTGCCATGCACCGTGCACCACCCAGGCGGGACGAAGAACGTGTGTGGGGGGAGGGGTGGCAGGGACTGGGAGGTTGGGCAGGACAGGCGGTACACCCTAAAAGGCCCACTGGCCAGCAAATGGGCGGCTGGTGCAGGCAGGAGGCATGCGGCATGTCGGCAGGTGGGGTTGGATTTCCAAGTTAAAAGGGAAAGGCAAGGGAGTGCTGCTTCCTCTTCTACTTTGTACAACTGCCTAACTGCATCCGTGCAAGCACGTGCATGTGCAAGTTTCAAAAGCATTGGAACAGACTCGTTACCAGTGTGTTGCAGTGAGATGCATAGGGGTGACTTCAGTGGGTGCTGCTACCCCAGCCACAGCAGTTAACTGGTACCAGAGGGTTCGGTGCAGTGTGCTGTGGTTGCAGTGAGCAAGAAGCAGTGGTTACCAGCGGGTGCTGCTGGAGTGTCTTGAGGTGCAGCACAGCAAGAAGGTCCTTTGTCACCCTCACGTGCTCCTAAGCGGCAAGCAGAAAGACGAGACCGTGGGGGAACAGATAGGGAAGGAGGATGGCAGGCAGAGAGAAACGGTTAAGGACAAGAAGAAGTTAATCATGGAGGGCCATAAGCCGTAGCTGAGAGGGCCATAAGCCGTAGCTGAGAGGGCCACGCTGCATGCTCCTTCCCTGCCCACCTGCGCCAGGGTAGCTCGAGTGTTGGCTGTGGCGAGCAGCACGCGCGTGATGGCAGCCTCCCTCTCCCGTACCCCCCGCACCTCCTCCCGCACTCTGCCACATGCAGGCAGGCAGGCAGGCAGGCAGGCAGGCAGGCAGGCAGGCAGGCAGGAACATGGTTCTTCACTCGCAAAGCTGGACCTTGGAAAACGCTTGAAGCAGCTTCAAGCAACAGACATGTAAACATTCTTCTGGTAAAAACATAACATTAACAAGGCTAAAAGAGGGGTCAACTGAAGGAACATTGTACCAGATCATTCAAGTTCCGGCCTGCCGAGTTCAAATCATCAAAGCCTTCATCAGTGCATATTAAGGAATTACAACAAAATTCTTTCAATAGAAGCAGGCCAAGTAGCAAGCGACTGCCCCCATGACCACTTTTATCCCCGTATGACAGCTCACCGCGTAACAGCGTCAGCGTCAGTGTTGGAGGCATCGTCCCCGAGGCTCACTGCAGGGAGGCAGAGGGCACACGGAGGCAGAGGGGAGGAGGGGAGGATGCACGCAGAGGCCAGAGAGACGCAATCAGGGCAGTGGGTTGGTTGTGATGCATGTGTTGACAGGGTTAGGGCTCACATGATGCTTGTTGCGCGCAACACATATTCCCATTTCAGACGCTGTTCCACTGGAATTTCCAGACCAGGTATTGAACCACAAGTGAGGCTGTAGGTAGGTGGTGCACGTTGATGCCTGTCGCACTCGAATACTCACCAAATAAAATCACAACACACTCAACACAGTTACATCACATTTGATACAGTCACATCACAATCAACACAGCACATTGATGTACAGTCACAGCGCACAGTGAATGAAGGTCTTGATGTTGGCTGCAGAGGACGCCACTGCATCGATGACCCGCTGCTGCAGCCTGACCTGGCATGCCTTGTTCTGCCACGCAGCAACACACACAAGGCACCCCTGCTGAGTGTCGCACAGTGCCGTATCACACAAGCACACAGCAGCAGCATGTGATGATGGCAGAGAGGCCTCGAGAGGTGCACACCACACGCTACATCCGTTGCACCCCGCCCCTAATTCACTACACGCCCCGCCTGAAACTCTTCACCTTCACCACAGCTGTAGCGCCACGGCCCTCTCGGCACCCCCACGGCCCTGCCAGGCACACCTGAGAACGCGGCCCTGCCAGGCACACCTGAGAACGCGGCCCTGCCAGGCACACCTGAGAACGCGGCCCTGCCAGGCACACCTGAGAACGCGGCCCTGCCAGGCACACCTGAGAACGCGGCCCTGCCAGGCTGACCTGCTCTACCACGCACTGCGTGCCCACCGCCATGGCATGTCACTCACCGCAGCAGCCCTGGCAGCAAAACTCTGCAGGCACCCCGGCTCCACTCCCAGCAGGTGCTGCCGCGATTGGCCCAACCGCCCTGCCAGCCCTGCTGGCTGTGCGTGCGAGAACGGTTGTGAGGGGGCGCGGTGCGTGGGTGCAGCGAGGGGCGTGGTGGGCGAGGCGGGTGGCACGGCGAGCAAGGGGTCGAGCGTGCTGCTCAGGTATGCCAGTATCTGGAGGGGGGGGAAGGGGCAGCGCAGAGGAGGGGAATGAAGGGGAACGTACTGTAAGAAAGTCGGTGCAGTGGATCAAGGGACACAGCGCATCGGGTCACAGCGCATCGGGACACAGCGCATCGGGAACCGAGAAATGAAATAATTTCCGCTGCCAACTTCGAGCGCGTCCCCCCAGGCACCAATAACCACGCCCTATCCCATATGTACCCTCACTCGTCCCCACCTCTAGCGAATTCTCTCCCCCACTCACCACGGTCTGCCCTCTTCCTCTCATCCCTCACCGCGTTGTGCGCGTGCGTGGCATGGCCGCCCTCCGCGCTCTCCTCGCTGTACACCTCCGCCACCGCCGCCTGCACCACCTGCTTCCGTGCCCACGCGCACCGGTGGCAGCAACGGGGGTGGACGCACGGGGAGGGGCGGCAGGGAGGAAGGAGACAGCTTTGAGACTTGTACAGACGGGCCCCTGTCTGTGCAGCACTGCCCACCGCACCCTCATAACACATGGGGAAAGGGGGCTGGGGAGAAAGGGAGGGAGGAGAAAGAGAGTGGAGTGGAGAGGGGAGAAAAGCTATGCGGTGGTGGCATGAGAGCGGACGGGAAGAAGCGGAGGCATGGGGTGATGTGAGTAAGTGCATGGGGTGATGTAAGTAAGTGCATGGGGTGATGTAAGTAAGTGCATGGGGTGATGTAAGTAAGTGCATGGGGTGATGTAAGTAAGTGCATGGGGTGATGTAAGTAAGTGCATGGGGTGATGTAAGTAAGTGCATGGGGTGATGTAAGTAAGTGCATGGGGTGATGTAAGTAAGTGCATGGGGTGATGTAAGTAAGTGCATGGGGTGATGTAAGTAAGTGCATGGGGTGATGTAAGTAAGTGCATGGGGTGATGTAAGTGCATGGGGTGATGTAAGTAAGTGCATGGGGTGATGTGAGTAAGTGCATGGGGTGATGTAAGTAAGTGCATGGGGTGATGTAAGTGCATGGGGTTGTGCGCGGGGAGAAGCGGAGCACGGAGCAGAAGCAGTGATGGAGAAGCAGTGATGGAGAAGCACGGATAGGCTGTTTAACCCAACACTTTTCTCCCCCAACCCTCCATTTCACTTTTCCCCCAACCTCTGCGCGCATCTCACCCGCTGCTCCAGGTACTGCCGCTGCGCGTCCTCGCGGTCCACGAGAATCTGCCACGCAGCCACTCATGGACGCACACGTGGCACCGCCAATCAAGCAAAATAATTTCAGCCATACGTGAGCCAGAGTAAACGTTTAAGCGAGACGGGTAGACAGCTGGAGCAGCGCAAACGAGTGAACGAGAAAAACAAGAACGCGATTCGACACCGCAGGCCGCGGCGAGGCGACTCACCGAATTCATGGCCGCCCGTGGCACCGCCTCCCGCACCGCACCGCACCGCACGCTGCACCGCGCGCACGGGCGAGAAAGGGTGGGGTGAGATGGCGGTGCCGTACGAATCCACACGGAACACACGGCCCCGCGACAGGTCAGGCAGCGAGGTGCGGCGGACAGGTCGATCTGTTTCGTGAATCGTGGTGCTCGGGAAGGGGCGACGGGCCTGAGTAAAGGGGACGATATGCATTTGATTTCTCGAAGGACGCAAACGTAGACTAGATGGCGAGGTAGCTTCACTCACCTTCGCGATTACACTGACTAGCTTGTGTATACGTTCGTATTAGAGAGCGCTGCTTTCGAGCATGAGTGACGGTTGGGGCGATAGAACCGAGACAGGCAGCGCGATCGTGGCGACTGCGAAACGCGCGGGGAGGAAGGAGAGAAGTAGAAAGAGGGTGGATGTTATCTTCCAGTATGGCAGTGACACATGTAAGAAACGCGTTCAATCACGTTCAGCGATGGTGTCTCGGCGGAATCATGCTCCATGCAGCGGCGGATTCAGATTTGCTCTTTCCTCTCCCGCCATCCCTAAACACTATATTTCGCCAGCACGTTTCTAGTCGTTGATCTTCGCACACGCAAGATAGTTCCATAATGAGCCGAAAGTTCCCAGTCCGTCCGCAGATGCATGCTCCACCTTGAAGGCGGCGTAACTGCTACAATCTGGTTACAGGTACATCGCAGACCAGCTCGTCAGAAGTTCGGGTGCGGTAGCAGGCTCTCGAAAATCGGGTGTTGTGGGTGAGTGTGAACCCGCCCGAACAATGTCCGCGTTGTGGTGTGGGCTTCAAAGTTCGATAGGGTGTTCGGAAATCTACCAGTACACTCCAGACCAAACCATGCATGAGCTTGAAGGAGCTCACTTTACTGTGTGCCTCACACAGGAATCTAACAGGACACCCGCGTTGAAAACGGCGGAGAGAATGTGCGCGTGGCGGTTAGCACTATAGCAAGCAAGTGCGGGCGAGGACGTGACGGGATGCCAGTGCAGCGCAGGAATGCATGCGTGCGGGCGTACTAGTTACCCTGTCCAAACCGGATCTCGAGCGTGCAGGGGTTCCCTCGGGTCCCTCGCTGCCAGCCCCACACCCGCATGGACCGACAGCCGCGCCGCAGGTCGCCACACGCCGCCAGCAGGCCGCCTAGTGCTGCGCGTCCCAACGTCGCCACCAGCAGCGGTGGCGGCGGTTTCGATGAAACCGTTAGCCGCGGCGACGGGGCTGCGCGCGATGCGGACTTGACGCCCGCGCGGTTGGCGGAGATGGCGGAGCGACGGCAGTTGGCGCAACTGAGAGAATTGGATGATATGGCGCTGGAAGAGGAAGGGGAGGACGAGGGGGGGGAGGACGAGGGAGGGAGCGGAAGAGGCCGAGGGTGGCGCAGGTCGAGAGGCGCACTGGGGGGCGGCGTGGCGGTGGGCGCGCGCGCGGGGAGCGCGGAGGGCGAGGCGAGCGAGAGGCGTGCATCGGCGAGCGCGGAGTGGGCAAGTGGGGAGACAAGGGGAGGGGAGGCGGTGGAGGGGGTGGAAGGGGAGGGCGAGAAGGACGCGGAGAGGAGGAGGGCGGCAGCAGGAGATTCGGCCGAGGTATGCTCGGAGAAGGCGTTATGTGGTGAAAGGAGAGACGGAGGGAAGCATGGCGTGGAGGAGGAGGGAGGGTTGGGGCCAGGTAGCAGCAGGCATGGTGATGACGTGGAGTCTGGAGAGGAGGAGGAGGGCGAGGAGGAGGGAGGGGAAGATATGGGAGAGGAGGGAGAGATGGGGGGAGAGGAAGGCGAGGTAGCAGGCAGTTGTGAGGAGGGAGAGGAAGGAGAGGAAGAGGAGCAGATGGGGGAGGGAAGCGAGGATGGAGAGGTGGAGGCGAGGGGCGGCGAGGAGGGAGCAGGGCGCAGGGCTGACTGTGTGCGGTGCAATGAGGTGGGGCAGGGCAGTGGCGCGGTGCAGAGAGGCATGGACGAAGGGGAGAGGCAGGCGGAACGCGGCATAGGAGGGGCGAGGCGGCCGCAGCAGAGACAGAGGAGGCAAGCGGTGCGAGGAGAGGAGGGAGAAGGGGAGGGAATGAGAGAGGGAGAGGAGGTTGTGGCGCGTGGGAGGGACAGCGCAGCCCAGAGAGAGGAGGCGAGGGGGATGGGCAGAGGTGCGAGGGAGGGGGCGGCGAGGGGAGGCGTGCAGGTGAGGGGAGGCGAGGTGGGGGCGGCAGAGAGAGCTCAGGTGCAGCAGATACGCGCGGTGGAGGGGGAGGCGCTGGAGGAGGAAGAGGAGGAGGAGGAGGAGGGAGACGAGGGGGAGTCGGGAGGGGCACGGAGGAGTGCAAGTGAGCGGCGGAGACGAGCGTCATGGCGTGGCAGTGGGCGTGGCAGCACCAGGGGCGCACATGGGGGCGTGCAGGCAGGTGAGGGCAGGGGTGGAGAGAGGGGGGAGGGGGGAGCACAGCAGCACCTGCTGCAGGCGTCACAGCAAGGGGATGAGGCAGGTGTGCGGAGCGGTGCAGCGGGCGGTGGAGGTGCCGGAACGGGTGATGGTGGCGGCGAAGGAGGCGCAGGAGGCGGGGGGGGTGCGGTGGCGGTGGTGGTGAGTGCGGTGGAGCGGCAGCAGATCGAGCGCATCCTGGCCATCCAGGGAGAGGAGCTGGAGGAGGAGGAGATGGGCGAGGAGGACGAGGAGGGCGAAGACGAGGAGGAGGAGGAAGAGAGGGGGCGGGCAGCAGGGGGCGAGGCGAGGCGGCATGTGCTGAGCTCCAGCGACAGCGATGACCCCAGGTGCCACGTGCCTCAGGTGCCACGTGCCTCAGGTGCCACGTGCCTCAGGTGCCACGTGCCTCAGGTGCCACGTGCCTCAGGTGCCACACAGGTGCATGTGGTGCCATGGGAGCAGCCTCGTCATGCAAAGATGTCACCCTTTCTTGGTACGAGATGAGCAAGAATCAGAATGCCATCATTGCTATACCACTGTCCCATCTTATCTCATCCGTGAATCATCCATGCATGCAGGGGCGATGGAGACGCGTTGAGGGTACGAGGAGGACTCACATTTGATCCGGCCATCACATCGCTGCACACATACCTTGGAGGTACGGCCATGCTGCATGCTGCATGGTGCATGGTGCATGGTGCATGGTGCATGGTGCATGGTGCATGGTGCATGGCGCTTTGTCGCTCTGACTGATGTGTCACTTTAGTTCATATCATTGCCGTGTCATGATCACTTCTCGATGCATGCATCCACCACCACTGGGCTACAACCCTCGCCTGCCTTCATCTCACCCCATGCACCGCTCACCCCGTGCCCTGGGTGCAGAGGGGGACGACATCACGGGAGCACAGGCGTTTGCTGAGGGAGGCACCATTCTTCGCCTACCCATGTTCTATCTCGAAGGTATGCCTCCAAGGTATGCCTCCAAGGTATGCCTCCAAGATTCTCCTATTGCCATTCAGTCTGCCCTTCCCTACCCTCCCATGCCGTTCCCTACCCTCCCATGCCGTTCCCTACCCTCCCATGCCGTTCCCTACCCTCCCATGCCGTTCCCTACCCTCCCATGCCCTTCCCTACCCTCCTTCCCCTCGCACTTACTCCACCTGCGTGCCCGTACCTGCATGCCCGTAACTGAGTGGGGCCGGCCTGTCATGCCAGCGTCACTTGCCATCACTCTGCACCGTGCTGCCATCACTCTGCACCGTGCTGCCATCACTCTGCACCGTGCTGCCATCACTCTGCACCGTGCTGCCATCACTCTGCACCGTGCTGCCCTGTGTGTCCTTCACTGTTCGCTGCGTGCGCCGCCCATGCCCTATGTGGCGCCCATGCCCTATGTGGCGCCCATGCCCTATGTGCCGCCCATGCCCTATGTGCCGCCCATGCCCTATGTGCCGCCCATGCCCTATGTGCCGCCCATGCCCTATGTGCCGCCCATGGGCTCATTGCAGCATGCAACCTCCATGCACACCCCCGTCTCTCACATGCTCTCCTTCTCAAATGCTGCGCCCGCCTCCACCTTCCACCAGGCATCGTGCTGTTCCCCGAGCAGACGCTGCCACTGCGCGTGCAGCAGGCGCGGTTCAGGGCGGCCGTGACACGCGCCATGGGGGCCACGGGGCAGGCCGCCCACCTGCTGGGCGTGGTGAGGGGCGGGGGGCACATGGTGGGGCGGCATATGGGGGGGCGGCACATGGGGGGGCGGCACATGGGGGGGCGGCACATGGGGGGGCGGCATGGTGGGGCGGCATGGTGGGGGTGGAGATATTGGGTGATTTACATTTGGGTGGCGTTGGAACGAAAGGCAATGTGGAGTTGAGGGGCGTCGAGTTGATTGAATGTCAAGTAATTCCGTTGCTTGATGCTGCAGGCTTCATATGTTAAGGATGAGTGGACGGATTTCTCTTTCTTTCATGTGTGTACGGGCGTGTGAAAATGTATGTTTGCACGTGTGTGTGTGTGGGGGGGGGGTGGGTGGGGGTGTGTGTGTGTGTGTGTGGGTGTGCATGCATGTGTGCATGCATGTGTGCATGGTTGCATGTGTGCATGGTTGCATGTGTGCATGGGTGCATGTGTGCATGGTTGCATGTGTGCATGGTTGCATGTGTGCATGCGTGAGTGCAAGCAGGTGCACGTGCACATGGACCCGCATGGCTTTGACATCCGAGTGGCATCCGTGGGCACAACAGCAGAGGTGGGCACAACAGCAGAGGTGGGCACAACAGCAGAGGTGGGCACAACAGCAGAGGTGGGCACAACAGCAGAGGTGGGCACAACAGCAGAGGTGCGCACAACAGCAGAGGTGGGCACAACAGCAGAGGTGGGCACAACAGCAGAGGTGCGCACAACAGCAGAGGTGGGCACAACAGCAGAGGTGGGCACAACAGCAGAGGTGCGCACAACAGCAGAGGTGGGCACAACAGCAGAGGTGGGCACAACAGCAGAGGTGGGCACAACAGCAGAGGTGCGCACAACAGCAGAGGTGGGCACAACAGCAGAGGTGGGCACAACAGCAGAGGTGGGCACAACAGCAGAGGTGCGCACAACAGCAGAGATGGGCACAACAGCAGAGGTGGGCACAACAGCAGAGGTGCGCACAACAGCAGAGGTGGGCACAACAGCAGAGGTGGGCACAACAGCAGAGGTGGGCACAACAGCAGAGGTGCGCACAACAGCAGAGGTGGGCACAACAGCAGAGGTGGGCACAACAGCAGAGGTGGGCACAACAGCAGAGGTGCGCACAACAGCAGAGGTGCGCACAACAGCAGAGGTGGGCACAACAGCAGAGGTGGGCACAACAGCAGAGGTGGGCACAACAGCAGAGGTGCGCACAACAGCAGAGGTGCGCACAACAGCAGAGGTGGGCACAACAGCAGAGGTGGGCACAACAGCAGAGGTGCGCACAACAGCAGAGGTGGGCACAACAGCAGAGGTGGGCACAACAGCAGAGGTGGGCACAACAGCAGAGGTGGGCACAACAGCAGAGGTGGGCACAACAGCAGAGGTGGGCACAACAGCAGAGGTGCGCACAACAGCAGAGATGGGCACAACAGCAGAGGTGGGCACAACAGCAGAGGTGCGCACAACAGCAGAGGTGGGCACAACAGCAGAGGTGGGCACAACAGCAGAGGTGGGCACAACAGCAGAGGTGCGCACAACAGCAGAGGTGGGCACAACAGCAGAGGTGGGCACAACAGCAGAGGTGGGCACAACAGCAGAGGTGCGCACAACAGCAGAGATGGGCACAACAGCAGAGGTGGGCACAACAGCAGAGGTGCGCACAACAGCAGAGGTGGGCACAACAGCAGAGGTCGGCACAACAGCAGAGGTGGGCACAACAGCAGAGGTGCGCACAACAGCAGAGGTGGGCACAACAGCAGAGGTGGGCACAACAGCAGAGGTGGGCACAACAGCAGAGGTGCGCACAACAGCAGAGGTGCGCACAACAGCAGAGGTGGGCACAACAGCAGAGGTGGGCACAACAGCAGAGGTGGGCACAACAGCAGAGGTGCGCACAACAGCAGAGGTGCGCACAACAGCAGAGGTGGGCACAACAGCAGAGGTGCGCACAACAGCAGAGGTGGGCACAACAGCAGAGGTGCGCACAACAGCAGAGGTGGGCACAACAGCAGAGGTGGGCACAACAGCAGAGGTGGGCACAACAGCAGAGGTGGGCACAACAGCAGAGGTGGGCACAACAGCAGAGGTGGGCACAACAGCAGAGGTGCGCACAACAGCAGAGATGGGCACAACAGCAGAGGTGGGCACAACAGCAGAGGTGCGCACAACAGCAGAGGTGGGCACAACAGCAGAGGTGGGCACAACAGCAGAGGTGGGCACAACAGCAGAGGTGCGCACAACAGCAGAGGTGGGCACAACAGCAGAGGTGGGCACAACAGCAGAGGTGGGCACAACAGCAGAGGTGCGCACAACAGCAGAGGTGCGCACAACAGCAGAGGTGGGCACAACAGCAGAGGTGGGCACAACAGCAGAGGTGGGCACAACAGCAGAGGTGCGCACAACAGCAGAGGTGCGCACAACAGCAGAGGTGGGCACAACAGCAGAGGTGGGCACAACAGCAGAGGTGCGCACAACAGCAGAGGTGGGCACAACAGCAGAGGTGCGCACAACAGCAGAGGTGGGCACAACAGCAGAGGTGGGCACAACAGCAGAGGTGCGCACAACAGCAGAGGTGGGCACAACAGCAGAGGTGGGCACAACAGCAGAGGTGGGCACAACAGCAGAGGTGCGCACAACAGCAGAGGTGGGCACAACAGCAGAGGTGGGCACAACAGCAGAGGTGCGCACAACAGCAGAGGTGCGCACAACAGCAGAGGTGGGCACAACAGCAGAGGTGGGCACAACAGCAGAGGTGGGCACAACAGCAGAGGTGGGCACAACAGCAGAGGTGGGCACAACAGCAGAGGTGGGCACAACAGCAGAGGTGCGCACAACAGCAGAGGTGCGCACAACAGCAGAGGTGGGCACAACAGCAGAGGTGGGCACAACAGCAGAGGTGCGCACAACAGCAGAGGTGGGCACAACAGCAGAGGTGCGCACAACAGCAGAGGTGGGCACAACAGCAGAGGTGGGCACAACAGCAGAGGTGCGCACAACAGCAGAGGTGGGCACAACAGCAGAGGTGGGCACAACAGCAGAGGTGGGCACAACAGCAGAGGTGGGCACAACAGCAGAGGTGCGCACAACAGCAGAGGTGCGCACAACAGCAGAGGTGGGCACAACAGCAGAGGTGCGCACAACAGCAGAGGTGGGCACAACAGCAGAGGTGGGCACAACAGCAGAGGTGGGCACAACAGCAGAGGTGGGCACAACAGCAGAGGTGCGCACAACAGCAGAGGTGCGCACAACAGCAGAGGTGGGCACAACAGCAGAGGTGGGCACAACAGCAGAGGTGGGCACAACAGCAGAGGTGGGCACAACAGCAGAGGTGGGCACAACAGCAGAGGTGCGCACAACAGCAGAGGTGGGCACAACAGCAGAGGTGGGCACAACAGCAGAGGTGCGCACAACAGCAGAGGTGGGCACAACAGCAGAGGTGGGCACAACAGCAGAGGTGCGCACAACAGCAGAGGTGGGCACAACAGCAGAGGTGGGCACAACAGCAGAGGTGGGCACAACAGCAGAGGTGCGCACAACAGCAGAGGTGGGCACAACAGCAGAGGTGGGCACAACAGCAGAGGTGGGCACAACAGCAGAGGTGCGCACAACAGCAGAGATGGGCACAACAGCAGAGGTGGGCACAACAGCAGAGGTGCGCACAACAGCAGAGGTGGGCACAACAGCAGAGGTGGGCACAACAGCAGAGGTGGGCACAACAGCAGAGGTGCGCACAACAGCAGAGGTGGGCACAACAGCAGAGGTGGGCACAACAGCAGAGGTGGGCACAACAGCAGAGGTGCGCACAACAGCAGAGGTGCGCACAACAGCAGAGGTGGGCACAACAGCAGAGGTGGGCACAACAGCAGAGGTGGGCACAACAGCAGAGGTGCGCACAACAGCAGAGGTGCGCACAACAGCAGAGGTGGGCACAACAGCAGAGGTGGGCACAACAGCAGAGGTGCGCACAACAGCAGAGGTGGGCACAACAGCAGAGGTGGGCACAACAGCAGAGGTGGGCACAACAGCAGAGGTGGGCACAACAGCAGAGGTGGGCACAACAGCAGAGGTGGGCACAACAGCAGAGGTGCGCACAACAGCAGAGATGGGCACAACAGCAGAGGTGGGCACAACAGCAGAGGTGCGCACAACAGCAGAGGTGGGCACAACAGCAGAGGTGGGCACAACAGCAGAGGTGGGCACAACAGCAGAGGTGCGCACAACAGCAGAGGTGGGCACAACAGCAGAGGTGGGCACAACAGCAGAGGTGGGCACAACAGCAGAGGTGCGCACAACAGCAGAGGTGCGCACAACAGCAGAGGTGGGCACAACAGCAGAGGTGGGCACAACAGCAGAGGTGGGCACAACAGCAGAGGTGCGCACAACAGCAGAGGTGCGCACAACAGCAGAGGTGGGCACAACAGCAGAGGTGGGCACAACAGCAGAGGTGCGCACAACAGCAGAGGTGGGCACAACAGCAGAGGTGCGCACAACAGCAGAGGTGGGCACAACAGCAGAGGTGGGCACAACAGCAGAGGTGCGCACAACAGCAGAGGTGGGCACAACAGCAGAGGTGGGCACAACAGCAGAGGTGGGCACAACAGCAGAGGTGCGCACAACAGCAGAGGTGGGCACAACAGCAGAGGTGGGCACAACAGCAGAGGTGCGCACAACAGCAGAGGTGCGCACAACAGCAGAGGTGGGCACAACAGCAGAGGTGGGCACAACAGCAGAGGTGGGCACAACAGCAGAGGTGGGCACAACAGCAGAGGTGGGCACAACAGCAGAGGTGGGCACAACAGCAGAGGTGCGCACAACAGCAGAGGTGCGCACAACAGCAGAGGTGGGCACAACAGCAGAGGTGGGCACAACAGCAGAGGTGCGCACAACAGCAGAGGTGGGCACAACAGCAGAGGTGGGCACAACAGCAGAGGTGGGCACAACAGCAGAGGTGCGCACAACAGCAGAGGTGGGCACAACAGCAGAGGTGGGCACAACAGCAGAGGTGCGCACAACAGCAGGGGTGGGCACAACAGCAGAGGTGGGCACAACAGCAGAGGTGGGCACAACAGCAGAGGTGGGCACAACAGCAGAGGTGCGCACAACAGCAGAGGTGGGCACAACAGCAGAGGTGGGCACAACAGCAGAGGTGCGCACAACAGCAGAGGTGGGCACAACAGCAGAGGTGGGCACAACAGCAGAGGTGGGCACAACAGCAGAGGTGGGCACAACAGCAGAGGTGCGCACAACAGCAGAGGTGGGCACAACAGCAGAGGTGGGCACAACAGCAGAGGTGCGCACAACAGCAGAGGTGGGCACAACAGCAGAGGTGGGCACAACAGCAGAGGTGCGCACAACAGCAGAGGTGGGCACAACAGCAGAGGTGGGCACAACAGCAGAGGTGGGCACAACAGCAGAGGTGGGCACAACAGCAGAGGTGCGCACAACAGCAGAGGTGGGCACAACAGCAGAGGTGGGCACAACAGCAGAGGTGCGCACAGCTGCCACAGCTGCCACAGCTGCCACAGCTGCCACACCTGCCATGCACCTCTCAGTCCTGCCCACTGCCTTGTCGCCCCTGGGTGCGCGTGTGGCCCCCATTGCTCAGATCCGGCGGGTGAGGCAGCAGGAGGACGGCAGCATGAGTGTGGTCACGAGGGGCCGCCAGCGCTTCCTCGTGCGCCGCGCCTGGATGGACCCCGACGGCTCCGTGCGGCCCCCCTTCCGCCCTGCCCCCTGCCGCCCTGCCCCTCCTCTCTCTGCCCCTGCCGCCCTGCCCCTCCTCTCTCTGCCTCTGCCGCCCTGCCCCTCCTCTCTCTGCCCCTGCCGCCCTGCCCCTCCTCTCTCTGCCTCTGCCGCCCTGCCCCTCCTCTCTCTGCCCCTGCCGCCCTGCCCCTCCTCTCTCTGCCTCTGCCGCCCTGCCCCTCCTCTCTCTGCCTCTGCCGCCCTGCCCCTCCTCTCTCTGCCTCTGCCGCCCTGCCCCTCCTCTCTCTGCCTCCGCCGCCCGGCCCCTCCTCTCTCTGCCTCTGCCGCCCGGCCCCTCCTCTCTGTGCTTCCTCTGTGCATTCTCTCTCATACCATGTGATGCTGCATTCAAGTGCACACCACCGTCCAGCCTTGCCCATGCAACCCTAAACCCTAAACCCTATATCTATTGCTGTCTTTGTCTTTATTCAGACCCTTCCACGCCTTCTCTTGTTCGTCACTGCCTTGTTGCTTATGCTCCTTGTTCATCATCATTCTCACCGCCCCACAACCATCTCCGTTCGCCTATTCCCATTCCTTCTCAACCCTCCCCTTCCCCTATCTCACGGCCGTGTTTCAGACTCTTGACAAGGCAACTCGTGTTCCTCAAGCCGTCCTGCTCCCTCTGCCCCCCCTGCGCCCCTGCGCGCCCCCCATCACCCCGTGCAGCCGGCAGCGGAGGTGCAGATTCTCGAGGACGCCTCCCCCCTGCGCCTGCCACCTGCCGCCTTCTCCCGCTGCCGCGGCATGCGGGCGGCACCCTCCAGCTGCATGCGAGAGGCGGTGGGTGGCAGGGGGAGAGAGGGGGCGAGGGGTGCAGAGCAGGGAGCTGAGGGTGGTGAGGAGGGCAGGGGCGTGGGGATGGCAGACAGGGGTGTGCCGCATGGGCACAGCAGAGGGGCTGCTGCAGGGGATGATGGGCGTGGGGGGAGAGGAGAGCGGATGAGGGGAGGACGTGGAGGGATTGGGAGGAGAGGGAGTGAGGAGGAAAGAGTGAGGCGACGGGAGGAGAGGAGGAGGGAGCTGGTGAGGAGGCTCATAGAGCAAGGTGACCATATGGAGGGCGAGGAGGGAGGGTGGATGGACGAGGAGGAGGAGGAGGAGGAAGAGGAGGAAGACGAGGGTCAAGAGGAAGAAGACGAGGACGGGGAGGAAGAGGAGGAGGCGGAAGATGAGGAGGAGGAGTCACAAGGAGTCGATGGGGAAGGGGAAGGGCGGGTTAGGGAGGGGCGCAGGGGAGGGGGGCGGTGGTGGCAGCGATGGGTGGCGCCCCTGAGGCGCAGAGAGGGGCGACGAGATAGGGCGCGGGCGAGAGGGGGCCAGGAGCGCGGTGGAGAGGAGGCGAGTAGGGGAGGAGGAAGGGGGGCTGCTCGGGCTGACAGCAACGGCAGCGAGGTCCCGAGTGGTGGGGGCGATGGAGATGAGCGGCGAGAGGAGGGCGAGGTGGCAGAGGGCGAGGAGGGAGTGGAAGGAGACGTGCGACTGAGCAGACTCTTGGGGCTGTTTGGAGTGCGGGAGGGTGAGACGAGGGAGGACAGGGAAGGGAATGAGGGGGAGGAGGAGGGGAGGGGGGGAGAGGGGAGGGGAGATCAAGGTAGCGCGGGCAGCAGGAGGAAGAGGACAAGGTGGGAGGCGTGGGGAGGGGCGGCGGAGCGGTGGGCAATGGAGGAGGTGCAGTGGAGGAGGAGGGCGGCGCGGGCGGCGTGGCCCCACTGGGTGTACCGCATGTTTGACGCCCTCAATCTGGCCAGGCGCGTGGCAGGTGAGGTGCACTCTGGGTGAGGCGCACTCTGGGTGAGGCTCGAACATCAGGTTGAGACAAGCAGGAGACGAGACGGGCAAGGCAAGGCTCGAGCACGTGAGATACGAATGAGCTAGAGCTGGGACGATTGATTAGTGAGAGGAGGTCAAGGCTCCTACGCACTTCAGTTCAGAGATGGTCTGGACCAATTGGGTTGAAGACGTTGGGATTGGGTGATGCTCAAGCATTGATAGTAATCTCAACAAGAGTATATAACAAAAAATGTACAAGTGAGGCTGTAGATTATGTGTAACGAGCTTCTCTGGTCATCATTGGCATGTTCTGTGGTCATCATTGGCATGTTCTGTGGTCATCATTGCCATGTTCTGTGGTCATCATTGCCATGTTCTGTGGTGATCATTGCCATGTTCTGTGGTCATCATTGGCATGTTCTGTGGTGATCATTGGCATGTTCTGTGGTCATCATTGCCATGTTCTGTGGTCATCATTGCCATGTTCTGTGGTCATCATTGCCATGTTCTATGGTCATCATTGCCATGTTCTGTGGTCATCATTGCCATGTTCTGCGGTCATCATTGCCATGTTCTGCTCGCCCTGTACCTCCTCCCTCCCCACTGCATCTTATTCTCGCTCTTTGTATCCTCCCCCCCGGCCAGACATGTGTGGGCAGCTGCTACCAGCGCAGGCGCAGCAGCTGCAGGGGCTCACGCGGGCGCCGGAGGCGCTGTCGTTCGTGGTGGCGGCCAACATGCCCATCAGCGACCGCCACCGCCTCCACCTGCTGCAGGTGTGCCCTCCTCACCGCCCTCTGCCACTTACCAATGTCACACGCACTTGTGCTGTTTTGCCTGGCTTGGTACTCAAGTATGCTCGTGCTACCTGAATGCTGGCGATCATATCGTTCATGTGGAGCGGGAGTGGGTGACGTGTGGGTGTGGTGTGCATGGGTGCAGGTGGGGTCGACGGTGTACCGGCTGCAGAAGGAGATTCGCCTGCTCGAGTGCATCGACCACCTCCTCTGCTCCACCTGCCGGGTACGCCTCTTCTCCACCTGCCTTCAATGCATCAGCTTGGATGTGCTGGGAATGAGAAATCTACACCGAAGCAACCTAAACCAATCTGAGAACAGATTGTTGAAACTTAAACACCAAATCAATTCTAGCAACTGAGCAGCCTATCGTCTGGAAACAGCGGTGGGTGTTATGGTGCCAGGTGTGGTATTTGCAGGCGTCACACATTCCCGTTGTGATGAGGTACGGTACGTACATAACTTGGAATGCATGGTCTTTGGAATATTGGCTCGGCTTTACATAGTCGTGCAGTGTCCCCCCTCTTCTTCCCTTCCCTCCCCCAGCCCCCTCCATCCGTCCATCCATCAGCACTGTCTGCCGCCCACCTGTCTCCCACAAAAGTTCACCACGCACAGCACCATGCTTGGCAGCTTTCAGTGTGCCCTGCTGCTTTCAAACTCAAACTTCCTCTCTCCCTCGTCTTCCCATTTCCTTCGTTGTCTGCGCATTGAAACGCCTCCCCACTCTCAAATAACGACAGTGCAGTGCGCGTGTGACCTGCCGCCACCGCATCCTCCCACACGTCTCCTTCTTCCACCCCCCTCTCCTCCCCTCCCCCCCTCCTATGCGAGAGGCAGTGTCGGGTGGCGAGGCGCAGTGACATGGTGTGCATGAGCACGGAGGGCGCCATCAGCGCCTTTGTGAACGCACATGGCTTCGTGCACGAGACGCTCACTCTCTCACGTGCCCGAGGGCTCGTGCTGGAGGGCAGCGCGGAGACGGAGAACAGCTGGTTCCCGGGGTAAGCCAAATGAGAACAGCTGGTTCCCGGGGTAAGCCAAATGAGAACAGCTGGTTCCCGGGGTAAGCCAAATGAGAACAGCTGGTTCCCGGGGTAAGCCAAATGAGAACAGCTGGTTCCCGGGGTAAGCCAAATGAGAACAGCTGGTTCCCGGGGTAAGCCAAATGAGAGCAGCTGGTTCCCGGGGTAAGCCAAATGAGAACAGCTGGTTCCCAGGGTAAGCCAAATGAGAACAGCTGGTTCCCGGGGTAAGCCAAATGAGAACAGCTGGTTCCCGGGGTAAGCCAAATGAGAACAGCTGGTTCCCGGGGTAAGCCAAATGAGAACAGCTGGTTCCCGGGGTAAGCCAAATGAGAACAGCTGGTTCCCGGGGTAAGCCAAATGAGAACAGCTGGTTCCCGGGGTAAGCCAAATGAGAACAGCTGGTTCCCGGGGTAAGCCAAATGAGAACAGCTGGTTCCCGGGGTAAGCCAAATGAGAACAGCTGGTTCTCCGGGGTAAGCCAAATGAGAACAGCTGGTTCCCGGGGTAAGCCAAATGAGAACAGCTGGTTCCCGGGGTAAGCCAAATGAGAACAGCTGGTTCCCGGGGTAAGCCAAATGAGAGCAGCTGGTTCCCGGGGTAAGCCAAATGAGAACAGCTGGTTCCCGGGGTAAGCCAAATGAGAACAGCTGGTTCCCGGGGTAAGCCAAATGAGAACAGCTGGTTCCCGGGGTAAGCCAAATGAGAACAGCTGGTTCCCGGGGTAATCCAAATGAGAACAGCTGGTTGCATGGGCAAGGTCGCGTGGTGAGCGTGCATGGGTGCATGCTTGCATGGTGGTTTCCTTTCTTTCCTTCCATTTGATTTCTGTGTTCAATCTGGTCGCGTCACGCCTTGGCAGGACATTAGATTCACAACACACAGCATCACACAGCACAGCACCACACAGCACAGCATCACACAGCACAGCATCACACCGCACAGCATCACACAGCACAGCATCACACAGCACAGCATCACACAGCACAGCATCACACAGCACAGCATCACACAGCACAGCATCACACCGCACAGCATCACACAGCACAGCATCACACCGCACAGCATCACACAGCACAGCATCACACCGCACAGCATCACAACACACAGCATCACGCAGCACAGCATCACACAGCACAGCATCACGCAGCACAGCATCACACAGCACAGCATCACACAGCACAGCATCACACCGCACAGCATCACAACGCACAGCATCACACAGCACAGCATCACACCGCACAGCATCACACAGCACAGCATCACACCGCACAGCATCACACAGCACAGCATCACACAGCACAGCATCACGCAGCACAGCATCACACAGCACAGCATCACACAGCACAGCATCACACCGCACAGCATCACAACGCACAGCATCACACAGCACAGCATCACACCGCACAGCATCACACCGCACAGCATCACACAGCACAGCATCACACCGCACAGCATCACACAGCACAGCATCACACAGCACAGCATCACACAGCACAGCATCACAACGCACAGCATCACACAGCACAGCATCACACAGCACAGCATCACACAGCACAGCATCACACAGCACAGCATCACACAGCACAGCATCACACCGCACAGCATCACACAGCACAGCATCACGCAGCACAGCATCACACAGCACAGCATCACACAGCACAGCATCACACAGCACAGCATCACAACGCACAGCATCACACCGCACAGCATCACACCGCACAGCATCACACAGCACAGCATCACACCGGACAGCATCACAACGCACAGCATCACACAGCACAGCATCACACCGCACAGCATCACACCGCACAGCATCACACAGCACAGCATCACACCGCACAGCATCACACAGCACAGCATCACACAGCACAGCATCACACAGCACAGCATCACAACGCACAGCATCACACCGCACAGCATCACACAGCACAGCATCACACAGCACAGCATCACACAGCACAGCATCACACCGCACAGCATCACACAGCACAGCATCACGCAGCACAGCATCACACAGCACAGCATCACACAGCACAGCATCACACAGCACAGCATCTCAACGCACAGCATCACACCGCACAGCATCACACCGCACAGCATCACACAGCACAGCATCACACAGCACAGCATCACACCGCACAGCATCACACCGCACAGCATCACACAGCACAGCATCACACCGCACAGCATCACACAGCACAGCATCACACAGCACAGCATCACACAGCACAGCATCACACCGCACAGCATCACACCGCACAGCATCACAACGCACAGCATCTCCCAGCACTCCATTTTGTTGAACCCCATGTACTCCTGCTGCATCTCCTTCGTCCTTGTTCCATCCTCTCTTCATGCACCACACGCCACTCCCCTGAAACTTTTCAAGTGCACATCTGTGCTGCACTGCAGCGCACTCCCCAACTTATGAGCTTCTCCCTCTCCCCACCTTGCGCTCTACCCCCTTTGTTGTGTCGCCTCGCACCTGACCGCCCCACCGCTCCCCACCCTCCGGCATTGGCGCAGGTACGCGTGGACCATAGCGCACTGTGGGCGCTGCGGCATGCACGTGGGGTGGCGCTTCACGGCTGTGCGCCGTGGCCTCAACCCGCCCGCCTTCTGGGGCGTGCGCCGCGCACAGCTCACTGCTGACACCACCCAGGCTGACGCTGATCTTGATGCCTGAACCTGAATCGCTCCCCCGCTTGTGCCTGGTGCTGCAGCTGCTTTCCAGCACTCCTCAGTCCATCTCAAGCTTATGTCTCTTGTTGTTCTTGTGAATAATGGACTGCTGAAGAAGCGAACACGCAATCCAACACGCAATCCAACACGCAATCCAACACGCAATCCAACATGCAGTCCAACACGCAATCCAACACGCAATCCGACACGCAACCTAACACGCAATCCAACAAGCAATCCAACGAGCAATCCAACGAGCAATCCAACACGCAATCCAACAACTACTCCAACACGCTATCCAATGAGCAATCCAACGAGCAATCCAACGAGCAATCCAACACGCAATCCAACACGCAATCCAATACGCAATCCAACACGCGATCCAACATGTGATCCAACACGCGATCCAACACACGCGATCCAACACACGCGATCCATCCAACGCGCGATCCATCCAACGCGCGATCCATCCAACGCGCGATCTATCCAACGTGCGATCCAACGCGCAATCCAAGGTGCGATCCAACGCGCAATCCAACGTGCGATCCAACTCGCGATCCAACACGCAATCCAACACGCAATACAACACGCAATCCACACCTAATCCAACACGCAATCCAACGAGCAATCCAACACGCGATCCAACGCGCGATCCAACATGCGATCCAACATGCGATCCAACACGCGATCCAACACACGCGATCCAACACGCGCGATCCATCCAACGCGCGATCCATCCAACGCGCGATCCATCCAACGCGCGATCCAACGCGCAATCCAACGTGCGATCCAACGCGCAATCCAACGTGCGATCCAACGCGCGATCTATCCAACGCGCGATCTAACGCGCATTCCAACGTGCGATCCAACGCGCGATCCAACACTCGATCCAACAAGCGATCCAACACTCGCAATCTAACACGCGCGATCCATCTAACGCACGATCCATCCAACGCACGATCGATCCAACGTGCGATCCAACGGGCGATCCAACGCATGATCCAACGCGCAATCCAACACGCATACCAACACGTAATCCAACTCGCAATCTAACATGCAATCCATCACGCAATCCATCACGCAATCCAACACGCAATCCAACCCGCTATCCATCCAACACGCAATCCAACACGTGATCCAACACGCGATCCAACACGCAATCCAACACTCAATCCAACGCGCAATCCATCGCGCAATCCAACACGCAATCCCTCACGCAATCCAACACGCAATCCAACACGCAATCCAACACGCAATCCGACATGCAATCCAACACGCAATCCAACACGCAATCCGACACGCAATCCAACACGCAATCCAACACACAATCCGACACGTAATCCAACATGCAAGCGTACATGAAACTTTGGGGCTCCATCTGGCCATAAAATGGGACGTGGGGGCAGGGGATGCTGAATTACTTGGGTTTTACACACACAGACATGATGATGGTGCCACTGGTGCTTCTAAACTGTTGCTACTGGTATTGCTTCATTGATTCTACTAGCCTACATTTTTTCAAAGGTTTTCTCCTCTTGGCCTCATCCACTTCCAGACTCTCCCTCATTAGGCGAACAGACACACTAGCAGGTAGCAGCAATCTCCCATAAGAACTGCTGAACCAAACGCAGATGTTTTGCCAACCTTCAACGATCGCCTTTGGCACGATGTGATTGTGGATGGGCAGACGTTGACTTCGACGTAACATATTTATATATATGTCGAGAGAAAATCTGACTAGTAGGGAGAGTACAGAGGTGACAAACACAAAGTGCTATCCTCACTAAAGACTAACCCTGCCTATCCTATGGAAACGTACATATATACATATTTATAAAGCATAGTTTGACACACCCCCTAGGCTAGGTAAGGGGCAGTCCCTGAACAACAACAACAACAACAACAACAACAAGCAAACTCAGGGCGACACTACTAAACCTGTTAATGAGTTCACAAAAATATATATCCACATTCACAGACAGAGCAAGCAACAAAGATCAAGAAACTAGCAAGTGATGACATCCTGTAACTAACCAAGTTGTGTGCATAACCGCTAATGATCACAGCAGTGCCTTGTTAAAGAAATCAGCAGTGTTGGCCTCTGAGACCACAGGTTGCCTGACCGCGCTGCTGCAACTCACGCTAGAAGAAGTAGCGCAGCTGGATGTGCTTCGCATTGCCCTCCCGTCTCAACTCCTGACACAGGAGGATCATAGCCCTGTTGTTAGCGAACAGGACTGGGGCGGAGCGAGGCGGCTCACCTAAGTCAGTGAGCAAGAAGGACTGCCAGCGGAGCTCCTACGCAGACATACCACCGGCGTAGATCTCGGCCTCACAGCTAGACAGAGCAACTGACGAAGCATGAGTCGACCTCCACGAGATAGCAGTAGCCCAGTGAAGACCTCCGAGACTCGGCGTCGGCCACCCACGACGCGTCAGCGTGCCTTGTGAGGCTGACCGGCTGTCTCCCTTAAAGCGACGGTGCACATTTGCCACCCGAAACCCAAAACCCTGGCGAACTGTTACTGCGGAGGAAAAGTGTCCGCACGAAATCCAGGTTTTCGTTAGCCAACACTTTCGCGCTGGCAAGCCTGGTTCAAAACAAAAACTTCTGAACCCCCGCTTGTCAAATCTAGACCCTCGTTTTAAAACACAAGCCTCATGCCTTATATGCTCGTCAGATAGCGCACAACCCTCTTAGCGGCCGACGAGGTGCAACAAAGCGAGCTTGGATGCTGAGAGGGTGTGCAAGGTCAGGATAAGTACATATCATCAGGTACATGAGGCAGCTCACCAGCTCTGCGTACTGGCCATTAGGCTCGGCAGACCCGTCAGGAACAGGAGCCGTGAGCCCACGGTCAACATCAAGTGCGGTGGCCTGTGGAGAAGAGAAGCGAATTCGAATCGCTCTAGGAATTTCTGCACTATGTGTGACTGAGTCAGTGTGATGGTGTGCGCTGCTTTGTCCCGCGTGATCTGCAAGCCAAGATAGTGACGTAACTCACCTAGGTCAGTGCAGGTGTGTCTCCTCTGCAGCTCGACCTTCACTGAGACCATTCCAGCTCTGTCAGGCGTAGCAAAGGCCAGGTCGTCGACGTAAACAAGGATGTAGAAGGGCGTTGAGCCAGAGCGGACGAAGAGAGAAGGGTCAGCAGAGGACGGAGAGAATCCGAGGGCAGTAAGAGTGGTGCATATTGTGTCGTGCCACTCACGTGGAGCGTGACACAGACAGTAGACAGACCGTTGAAGACTCCACTTGGTACCAGGGGGGAACGACCCAGTGAAACCAGGACGACGCAGCCAGATCTGCTCGTGAAGTTTGCCTTAAAGGAAGCAGTCGAAAAGTCCAGCGAGTGGAGATCGTAGTCACACAGTGCCGCGATGTGCATCAACACCCGAAGAGTGGTCATCTTAGGGGTGGGGGAGAAGGCCTGGAAGAAGTCTACCCCCTCTCGCTGACAAAAACCTCTCGCCATGTAGCACGCCCTGATGATAGGCGGCGATCCAGGTGGCCGCTTCACCTTGAAGATCCACATGCCGTCAACTACGTTCGCCACAGGAGGGTAAACTGCGTCGACGTAAGTGCATGTGGACCTCCAATATGCCATCTATGCGTCCATGGCTGCTATTCACTGAGAGGCCCACTCTCCCGAGGTCGCCTCAGTGTAGGTGCGAGGAGTCGACACGTCAAAAGCGCCTGGGTCACACTCAGGAGCTAGCAGCATGGCACAGAGTTGAGGAGCAATGGCCGCAAGGAAAGCCAAATCAAACTGCCATCCTCTAGGACGTCACAGCCAAAGGCACCACACCCCTGGCATACAGAGGACGGGTAGCGTCAGAGACTAGAGGACAAATAGCGCCAGAGACTAACTGAGCAGCATAGTCAAGGCGGCGAGTAGAGGGAAAGTCAGTACAGTAACGACAAGAGCCGAGACAGATGAAGGAGGAGTCGTAGGGTCAGTGACAAGGGAGGAAAGGACACGAGAGAGTGTAGGACGATTGGCACGGAGGAAGTCAGAGAACGCAGGAGGGAAGACAGTGAGGGACGACTCTGGAGGGGAGGGGAGGAGAGGAGGAAAAGAATGAAGGCTCATAGAGTTAAAGCCAGGAACAGGAGACGAGGGGCGAGCACGAGGGGAACGCCCAATAGTTCAGGAGGAAGAGGGGCGATGTGGGTCAGGAAGGAGAGGAGGAGACAGAGAATGAGGAGGAAAGCAAGTCGGAGACGGGTTCGGGAGAGGTAGTAGGGCAGTGGAAGGACACCCAGTTGAAAGAAAAGGAGGACCAAGAATATGAAGACCAGTCACCGGAGGCGACGACGGCCGCTGTAGCTGCTGCTGCTGCTACGGCTGCTGCTGCTGTTGCAGTCTCTCCGAACGACGCGGAGCCACTGCACCCCCTAGAGGCTGAGTCTCCACCGACAGAAACTCTAGAGCCGGTACCTCCGACGTCAGCACCCCTAGAGCCAACGCCTCCAGCGTCAGCACCCCCACAGCCAGCACCACCAGTGTCACCAACCCCAGAACCAGCACCCCCAGAACCAACACCACCAGGGCTAGCACCCACCGCAACTGCACCCGCCGAACCAGCACCTCCAGTGTCCACAATGACCGGCCGCTGCGACGCGAGACCTGGCTGCGGCAACAAAGGCTGTTGTGGCGACTGCGAGGCAAGGCCGGGAGGGGAGCTACCAGAAGGGTGGGACCAGGTAAGGGAGGGGTAGCGAAAAACAGGGGAGGAGGGGGGGACCGGGGTACCTCTGTGGAGAAAGCGAGCGTAAAGGCAGACAGACTCGTCAAAGGTAACGTTACGAGAGATGAAGAAGGGAAAGGAGGAAGGGTGGTAGAACAACCAGTCGGGGGTGTCTAGGTGTGAGAGGATCGAGACTTCACTTCGAGAATGAATAATGAACATGGGTACAACTACGCGACTAAATATAGACACGATACAAGGCAGGTAACCTGGGTGTTACTGGAAAGTACCGAGGCTCTAGAACCAGCGGGAATATAGCCTTACTGTATTTTGTAGAGTCATTTGGTGAATAATCACACACACACTAGGTCATGCGAGATAATTTTAGATTTCAGTAAAATCTGGTGCACGCAATCCTATTCGGTGAATATAACCAAAATAAGAAATATAAATATAACCGAATAAGAAAACGAGGATAGCGAATGAAAATCAAAATAGAAATAAGTAAAAATAGGGTAGAATGGACGGCGTACTCTCTCGCGTCCCCCCTTCAAAGCAGGGTAGAATGAGAAACCCCCTGCTTGACAAGATGATCCTTGAGAGCATAGCGTGCGTTGCCCATATCAGCTTCTGTTACCCAATTGTCTTTCGAAGGGTCGTACCCTTTCCAACGAATCAGGAACTCGAGCGTGTTGCCGCATCGGCGTCGGTGCACGAGGACACCAACTCGTACTCGGATTCATCATGGAGTAGGTGGCGGTGGTGGTAGTTGATGTCCCTGGTACTGCTGATTGGGGTCCTTGTAGGGCTTCAACTGCTGAACATGGAAGGCATTATGAATTTCCATGTGGTTGGTAAGCGCAAGCGGAATGTAACGGGTGTCACCATCGTCTCAATGCGACAAGGACCACCAAAACGTGGACGGAGCTTGGACGGTAGATGAGAGAGGTCCAAATTGTGAGTGTCCAAAAGAACATGTTGTCCAACTGCAATCTTGTGGTCGTGTCGCTCGTGGTCAGCATACTGCTTCTATGAATTTTGCATCGTTGTGAGGTGCCACTAAGTCCTCTCCCATAGCTGCTGCATGGTGGTGACGAAGCCATGAGTGGCTTGGACGTGTGCATGTCTGGTTGGCTGATGTGGTGTAACTGGGTCACGTCCGTAGCACAGAAAGAAAGGGGTTTTTTTTCTGTAGCCGCGTGAGTAGCCTTGTTGTACGCGAACTATAAGGTTGGCAACTGTTGATCCCAACAGCCGACGTCATCTTTGCAGGCTGTGCACAGTAACTGTTCAACCATATGGTTCAGTCGCTTAGTCTGTCCAACTGTCTGGGGGTGTTATGCTGGAGGCATCAAGCTTAGTCCCCAACAAACCCATGAGTTTCCGCCACAACGTACTGTCTGAGAAGAAGAGGCGAGCCGTAACTTCATTCGTAGCAATGGCATTTGTGGGAATGAAGTGTCCCATCTTAGAGAAATTGCTGAACACTACGAGTATGACGGCAGGCCCTCGAGTGGTCGATGGCAGGCCAGTAATATAATATAGACTAACAACTTCCCATGGCTGCTTCGGTACGGGTAATGGTTGAAGTAACCCTGTTTTTTTCTACTTGCTACTCTTCATCCGCTGATAGGTGTCGCACAAGTTTACGAATTCTTTCAAGTTTGTTGCCATCCGGGGCCAGTAGTAATACTTCGCTATGCCGGCAAGGGTCTTGTTGCTTCCGTAATGTCCCAAATAAGTGTTCCGCATACGCCATGTCATGGAATTCCTCCAGTAGGATCTGACGAAGAGGGGCGTAGTTTGGAACCCAAAATTTCCCTGAACCCTTCGGTACTGCGAGGTCTTTCTTCCACTGCAGTTTCTGCTTCTTTGCTAATAGAAATTCAAGGTCTACGGAGTACCCGTGCTGGAATAAGCCTTTGAGCAAAGGATTCATCCCTTCAATCTGAATTACTGCCACGTGTCCCGGTCGGCTGAGCACTTCTGCTTTGTTGTTGAGTCCTGGCTTGTAGACGATGCCTTAGTGGAAATGTGTTTCCAAGAAGTCCATCCACTGTACCTGCGGCCTGGAGAGCGCTGGCTGCGACTTCATGTATTTCAAGCTGCAGTGGTCGGTGTAGACGGTTAATTTTGCTCCATCGAGATAACAACTCCACGCCTTGAAGGCTGTGACTATCGCCAAGGCTTCCTTGTCATGAATCGGGTAGTTTAACTCCGTCTTGTTTCTTACTCAGGCACGCGATCGGCTACAATCCGCGTTCGTGAACCTGCATCAGTACTGGTCCGACTGCTTGATCGCTCGCGGCTGCTTCCCCCACGTACTCCTTGTATGGATTAGGTAGGATTAGCACTGAGGTGGTGGTCAAGGCTGTCTGTAACGGCTCCGTGGCTTGCTATTGCGGGGTGTCCCATTTGCAGGGAGTATCCTTCTCCAGTAAGTTCGTGAGAGACGTTGCTATCTTTGCGTACTGCGCCGCGAACCTGTTTTAAAAATTTGCAGAGCCTAGGAACTGTTACAACTCCTTGATGTTCTCTGGAACTTTCCACCCTTTTTTACGGCTTCGACCTTCCGCGGGTCTACATGAACTCCCTCCGCACTCAGCATGTGCCCAAGAAACTGCACTAATTTGAAACTGATTAATGAACTTAGGCTTGAGCAAAAGGCCCGGCCCGACCCGACCCGGGAATTTGCCCCGTCGGGTCAAGCCCTTCAATGGCCTGGCCCGGCCGGGTCGAGTCGGGCCGCCCCGGGCTAAAAACACGACCCGACAATGTAAGTCGGGTCGGGTCGGGTCGGGTTTTGGGTCGACTTGACTCGACACGGAATCAAGTCAGGAAAACCCAACCAGGTTTCGACACTCGCTGAAACCCTAGTCGATGTCGAGGGGTCAAATTTTCCCCTCGACATCTCACGCAAAGACATTTCGTAGCTGAAGTCACCTAAACCTAGAACGCTTTCTAAGATCCTACTTTTCATACTGTCGCTCTACTTACATTAAACATTTCATTCGATAAAAGAAGCGTTAAGGTTACATAGACCGAAATCAGCCTTAGCTTATGCGTTTGCGGGATTCCTTCAAATTTATTATAAAAACGGCTCAATGAGTAGTTCCTGCAATTGCCAACCATTCAAGCTCCGCGCTTAGAGTTTAGGAAGCGTCCACGAGCTGTGTCAGGGCTGCACCTGCCATTACGCAGCGCAGGACGCGGCCGCGTGCGGTGAGGAGGGGAGGGGCGGCCACGTGCAGTGGGGAGGGGAGGGGCGGCCGCGTGCCTTGTGCGAGATGCACTCTAATCGCGCGAGGGTTTGCAGCTTGGCCCGTGTCTAGTGGGGCGTGGGGACCGTGTCCGAGGCCATGGCTGATGGTGGACAGGATAGTAGGAGAGTCATTCCCGGCGCGTCCCTTGGTGGCCTGGAGATCTCCGCATCGATGGAGACTTTCCAGTTGGGTTCCCTCTCCCCGGGAGTCGATGAGGCAGCATGGAAAGAGGGTATTGCGGCGCGGCGGCGTGAGGAAGAGCGACGATGGCAGGAGAGTCAGGTGCGTAGTGCTCATAATGCAGGGCATACATCCGAGCGGGACCGTGACCCTGATTGGGAGGCAGGGAGTGGGGAGGATGGCGCAAGTGAGGGATTCGGGGGTGGTGGTAGTGCTGCTAGGGGAAGTCAGGCTTCGAAGAAGAGGGTGCGGGCAGGGGAGCGTCTGGGGTCGGGATTGGTGCGGCCTACGGAGGGGAGGAAGGGGGGGGGTGAGGGTGGGGTCAAGGTGAGGGGGCGGCTGTGGAGGGTGGTGATGGGACGAGGGGAGGTACGGGTGTCCCGGATGCTGGGGAGCGTATTGGGGCTAGCAGTGGGTCAGGGAGGGCGCCTGCCGCTTCTGTGCCTGCCGCTGCTGTGCAGGCCGCTGCTGTGCCTACTGCTCTTGTGCGCTCCGTTGATGTATCACGGGCTACTATCGAGGCTATGACGTTGATTGGGAGGAATCTAACCGGAGCGGAGTTGGACCCGATAGTCGAGAAGGCCCTGAAGAGTAAGGAGTATGGGTTGGTGCGTGGCATGCACGGGCCATTGGTGAGTGGGAAGCGGTGATGCATAAGGTGCAATTCGCAGCTGGTATGGGGTAAGAGTACCACACGTTCGGGGACGAGGCATCTCAAGCGGATACACTACCCTAGTCTGCAGATATGGGTACGTCGTTACCTCGATCCGGCAAAGCCATCAGAGCTTGCTTTTCCGGATGGCGGGTGGGGCCCAGACGTCCCTCATCGGACCAAGTGGCCATGGGAGCATGCGGACACGTGGCCCACCATTCCAGCTGGCGCGACGGGGGTTGGTGCGAGTGGAATGATAGGCGACGCTGCTGGTGGTAGTAGGCAGGCCACCATGAGTTCTTTCGTCACGCCGCGGGTTGGTGCTCAACAGCTGCGCGAGGGGTTGGTGATGCTCTTTGCGGGACTCGACATGCCCTTCCGTGTTGTCGACCGTCAGGAGGTTTGATCTCATGGGTCCGATGGCGTAATGGGTTGTGCGTTTCCCGAGTGACGTTGCCCTCACAGACACGCCTTATAGAATGTACTCCATATCTGTGCTCTTCTCCATGCCAGTTCAGGGACTTTGTCGCGATGCTGAACCCCGAGGCGTAGCGAGAACAGACACATGGACTAGTGAGTGTGGCATATCGATCATGGTGGTGACAGCTCACTGGATCACTAGCGACTTCCAGCTGCAGAAGGCCGTTATCGATTTCAGGGAGCTCAAGGGCTCCCACACGGGAGACGCGATAGCTGACGAGTTGGAGGAGGTCCTTGTGGAATGGGGTTTCGGTGATGCGTTCTTCGGCGTGACCACGTACAACGCCGAGAACAACCGAGCGGTTCGCCTATTGGCTGGCGTCCCTGACAGCACCTCAGGGTCCCGCCCTCGGGACCCTCAGCTTCTCCCTCGTTCTCGGCACTTCAGGTGCATTACACTGCTGTTGTTGAGGGATCTGTGCATAATCTTGATTATGTTTCCTGTACTGTCAACGTAGACAACATTATCTATAAGCAAACAATTCATGTTAATGTGCCGGTGCCCGACAGGTGCGTGGCCCATGCCCTCAACCTAGCAAAGCACTCAAGGTTGAGGCGGTCAAGGAGCAGCTCCGGAGGCTGCGAGAGTTGGCCAGCCACATTGGGTGGTCCGTGCAGCGTTCGCATCGATTCTTTGACCTGCAGAGCCAGTATGCTACGAGCCAGACGGCGTCGCAACAGGAGGCTGCACAGGGAGCCACGATGAGCTGAGTACCCGCGGGCTTGCACCTGATCATCGACTCGCCTACCCGATGGGTATCCACGCTGGAGATGGTGCTGAGGGGTTTGGATCTTCGCATGCCTCTCACGATGTTCTTCGATGACACTGATGTGAGTAGAGGGCTCGTGGGGTTGCGTGGATGTGGAATGTGATTATAATGAATGGAGGTCATGCATATATGCTCAAGGTGTTGGGGGGGGCTTGAATGTGCTCGAGGAGTTGCATGCATGTGAAATGTGCTTACAATGAGTGGTGGTCATGCATGTATGCTCAAGGTGTTGTGGGGCCTTGAATGGGCTCGAGGGGTTGCATGCATGTGGAATGTGCTACAGTGAACGGTGGTCATGCATGTATGCTCAAGGTGTTGTGGGACCTTGAATGGGCTCGAGGGGTTGCATGCATGTAGAATGTGCTTACAGTGAACGGTGGTCATGCATGTATGCTCAAGGTGTTGTGGGGCCTTGAATGGGCTCGAGGGGTTGCATGCATGTGGAATGTGCTGACAGTGAACGGTGGTCATGCATGTATGCTCAAGGTGTTGTGGGGCCTTGAATAGGCTCGAGGGGTTGCATGCATGTGGAATGTGCTTACAGTGAACGGTGGTCAGGCATAAATGCTCAAGGTGTTGTGGTGCCTTGAATGGGCTCGACGGGTGGCATGCATGTGGAATGTGCATATAGTGAATGTGGAGCGTTGATTGTGCTTATAATAAAAGGTGGCCACACCCTTATTTGTTCTAATGTTGTTAAACTCTCATTCACGCTCATTCTCCAATCCCTCTCAGGCTTCCATCCCCTGTGCCACACGCGAGGCATGGGATAAGATCCGACTGTTCGATGCTCACTGGTCCGCTCTCATCGAGTTGCGTGATTTCCTCCAACCCTTTCTCACTGTCACTCTCTTCGTGGAGGGGTCTTTGTATCCTACCATGGCAGCTGTTGTATACTAGTAAAACAAGCTATTGGATCTTCTTGAGGAAGATCTGCTTGAGCCAGGGATCTCCACGTTGCGCTCCTCGCTGATCCTGGCGGCGATGAGCAACCTGGAGCAGCACATGGGGGGGGTGAGCGAGGAGGCGGCGATTTCCACCTTCCTCGATCCGCGCTACAAAACCCCCCCCCTTCAAGCTCAGAGCTCGGGGGGCGAGGAGTAGCACGCCTGTGGTGGTGGAGGAGAGGGGCCTAGTGTCAAACTATGTTTGTATTCTTGGATAGGCTGTAGTGAGTTGCTTGTTAGGGGGTACAGAATATCTCTCGACACTTTGCTTGTACCCCCTCCTTTTGACCTAATCTCATCATTCCCCCTACCTATCTAAGTAACTAGGTTCCTAAGACCTAGCCAGGGGGGCCACACTCCAGCTGGATGTTGAGAGGGTGAAGGCGCTGGTACGAGGGCGCCTTCCACGGTACCAGGCAGCGGCGACTGTGGCGGCAGAGGCACGACCGGGAGGTGAGGTCACGAGTGCGATGAGAGCGGTGGGGCATGCAGCGGTGGTGGGGGCAGCAGCGAGGGGGGCGGCTGGGGGAGGTGGCGGGCGCGATTTGGAGGTGGAGCTATGGGCGGAGATGGCAGCCATGGAGGCAAAGGAGGGGGTGCAGGCATAGGACGAGGTGGACCAGTATTTGGCAGACGCGAGGCAGGATGTTGGGAGCTCCTCAGTGTACTGGCGGGGTAGGGAGACCCAGCTGCCGGGACTTGGGGCCATGGCACGCGGCGAGTGAGCTCGCATTCAGCCAGAGTAGGAACATTGTCACGTGGCAGAGGCACCGGCTGAGCGTGAGCCAGATGTGTGCTACCATGATGATCAAGTCGTGGCAAATGCATAATATTGGGAAGACGTTGCCGATCCGGGGCACTACGACCACAGAGGCACAGTTATGCCTTGAGGCAAAGACGTTGGGCTTGTGATTGGTGATTGGTAGAGTACCCTTATAGATTTACCACAGTAATTTCTTGATCGTTGCACTTTATCTTTATTTGTGACTTATATGAATGGTGGGAGACATCATTTGTAGTTGTCTAGCAAACTTGTTTCTGCACTTTGCCTTCCCTGTCACCCTAAACAACAAAACTATAAATATTGCCATAATTATTAGTACTATAGTGTGTCACAAATTCTATCACCATTTTTTTTTTACAATAGCTCTAAAGCTTATACACAAACATGGGAGGGTTGTGACGGACCACTTACGATGTGCGGACGGTGCAAACCTGGTGGCGCCGCCGAAGCCGATCGCAGCTAATTTCGCCGCCAATAACGTGGTGCCGATGACGGTCAAGGGAGGCGTGCTACTCGGTGAGATGGGCGCCCCGCGCGCAAAGCTATGCCAGACGCAACTGGTGGGGGATGATATGAGGCCGGCAGTGCCAAAGGTGGTACGAAGGGCGCTCACAAGTCCGGTAACGGCATCAAGAAGAAGGCACGAGTGGGAAGAGGAGTGGGGTAAAAAGATTGACTGGAAGGCGGTGATGCAGAGGCGAGACTCCCTGGCCATCCCGTACAGAGCGATGCACAGCAAGAACCTGCAGGTGGGATGGAGACTGGTGTTCCTGGGTCCCAGAGGCTGCTGTCCACACTGTGGGGAGCCTGAAACTCTAGCTGACTGCATGCTCACCTGCCCGGTAATCCAGCTAGTTATCAGCGCGCTTTTTGAGTCACTCCAAATGATAGACCCAACGAATTGGACGAGGTCGCTGGGTGACATGCTCTTTCAAGAGGGGGCCACGAGGTCGGGTTTTTCGGGGGCGACGTTGACAACGGTGACGATGCGAAGTATTTGGTTGGCCCGTGTTGGTGCGGTGTACAGGAAGGAGAAGTTCCAACGGAAAAAGGTGGCAAGGGCGGCGATCTGCGATTTCATGCGGCATGCGCGGGTCTACAGAACGGAAAATTCAAGGAAGGCAGCACGGGATGGGGTTAAAAAGCTGCCACGGGACCCATGGGATGGTTTGGCAAGGGACGAGAGAGCGGCGGTTGCCAGAATATGCGAAACAGGAGAGCAGGCCACGTGGAGGGAGGGTTTCCTCTCCATCTGGCAGAACCCTAGAACGTTCCACCGTCCTCCGTAAAAGTAGGGAGGTGGGGGGCACCACAGCAAAGGCTGTTGGTGTTGGTCCTCTCCAGTATACAGTTACGACTTCGAATGTATTTGCATTTGTTATAGTGCATACTCATTCACAAAAAAAAAAAAAAAGGTATATATACACAAACATGCCCCCTAAGTGGGGCGGGTTTCCCTGACCCGACCCGAGATCGGGTCAACCCTGACCCGACGCTGTATCCTCGGGTCGTGTCAGGGCCTTCACCAGCTTGGCCCGGGTCTGGCCCGACCCGACCCGACCTGAGAACTTGGCTAGCCCGGCCAAGTCAGGTCGGGCCGGTCGGGACAGGTCGGGCCGCCTGCTCATGCCTAAATGAACTTGGGTACAACTACTTGGCTATACATAGGCACGATACAAGGCAGGTAACCCGGGTGTTACTAGAACCAGCGGGAATAGAGGCTTCCCGTATTTTGTAGAGTCGTTCGGTGAAAAAAAACGCACACGCTAGGTGACGAGAGATAATTCTAGAAAACAGTAAAATCCGGTGCACAAAATCGGTTGCACTGGCATGAACATGGAGGTACGATCGATCTCCATGATCAAACCGATGCGCCGCTCAGCGATCCCATTCCGCTGCGTCGAGTCCGGCTGCGTGAACGACTGGCGGATCCCCTGCTCGCTACAGAACTATCCCACCCCACCGGAGGTGAACTCACCACCCTCGTCAAAGTGTAAACCAAGCACAGGACGGCCTCGCTGGGTGCGGACGGCCACAATCCACGGGAGAAGAGAGTCAGGCACGTCGGACATCCGCTGCAACGGGAACACCGTGGTGTAGGGGGTGTACTCTTCCACTACTACCGCATCACCCCGGATATAAGCGCACCTGCGCATATAATAAAATGTGTTTTTTTAGGGGGGTGCGCTTATAATTGAGTAAAAGATATAAGCGCATGCACTTATATAATGACAATTACAGAAATATAATTTACACGCACCAAATTGTACATCTCAGTCGTGCGATCTCAATCGAAACGGAATGTTAGAGAGTCTGAAATCAGCGCGAGGGCGATTCACTGCCGGCGCACAGAGCATTGGCACGTCACTTTGCAGGCGTGCCAGCTCATCCTGACTGGATGCGCAACCAGTGAAACCCTCGAAAGTCAAACAAATTGGATGTGGACTCGCAGCAAAACTGAAATTCGTTACCGTTTTTATCATGAATTTAAAATAGAATTATAGATGCGCTTATAATAAATCACGATTTTACAGGGGGTGCGCTTATAATTGAGGAAGCTCCAGATATAAGCGCATGCGCTTATAATAGGCCTGCGCTTATATCCGGGGTGATACGGTACTATGTGAAGGAGACGTGGGAAGGAGTGGTGACCTAGGCGGTGGTGCCACAGGAGCGACGGGTGGGTGAGAGACAGACACTGAGGTGTACTCAGTGCGCAGCGAGAATACCGGACCTAGGCTCCCGTGTGAACGTGACAAGTGGAGCCCCAGTGGTAGAGTCTGTACAGGTCGCAAACCGCTCGTGCCAAGGAAACGTGGTGGTGACACCCAGATCCTCAAGATGACCTACACTGACCAAGTTCCTAGAGAATGAGGATATGCAGATCCATGAGGGAGCGAGAAGGGACAGCATGACACGCGGACGAGTAAAATGGTCCCCTTTCTGGAGGGAGAGAAAGGTTGGACGTCAATGACTGAGACGACTATGCAAATCTTGTTTCAAAAGTGTTCCGATGCCGGGACATGAACCCGGATCTTTCGGGTGAGAGCCGTATATTCTAACGACTAGACTCAACGAATGCAGAGAAGATCCTGCAATATCTATCTCTCTCATAGACGTCCACAACCAGCAATACTTCCCTCGCAAATCATCCTTCATTTACCAGTGACCATGTCCGTCCACTTGCTCTCCGCGGCCTCTTTCGCCTCACCACTCTCACTCGACCAACCGCCTTGCTGCCTCCGCGTTCTTTCGGGAGACTCAGGACAGCGCCGCAACCCGTCCTCACTGTTGGGACCTGGGGTAGGCGAAGCGCCCAGCGCGTCGAGGGCGGAATGGGCACGGGGAGAGTCCGCAGGCAGTGCTAGCGGGTTTCGCTCCGTTGCAGGCCGAGCGCAGTCGGGCAACTGGCGCAGCTTAATACGGGGAGGGATCTCAGCGCGGGGCGAAAGCAGGAGCAGTGCGGGACCGGGCGCTGAGCAGTGGGGGCAGAGTGCGGAGGGGCGCAGAGAGGCAGGCGGAAACGGCGGAGGGTGGTCCGACAGGGGACGGAGAGGTGGGGGACGGTCGGTTGGCGGATGGGAGAGAGGGGGACGGCGAGGCGGTAGCGGAGGATGGGGGGCCGGCGAAGGGGACAGCGGAGCTTTAAGGGACAGGGAGGGCGCAGGGCGGCAGGAGGGATCGCGCGGTGAGGGAGGGGATTGGGGAAGGCAATGGGGCGGGGGAGCGGAGAGCGCGCGCGAGCGAGGGCTGGAGGGGAGGGATGGCAGGGACGCATGGCGCGCGGACGGCGGTCGCGCGGAAAGGGGGCGGGGCGGCGGGCGCGGTGGCGGATCCTGGGACGCGCGGAGCCGAGGGGGAAGAGGCAGGGCGGGATCGTCCGCGTCGTGGGGCCGAGGGGGAAGAGGCGCAGGCGAGCGCGGGAGGGGACGGGGTGGGCAGGCGGGCGGAAGGGGGGTGTGGGGGAGGCGAGGAGAGGGGCGGTGGGGGAGCGAGGAGGGCGCGGAGGAGGAGTTACCGTCGGGGTCGTTCGTACTGCCCGACCCCGAGGCGGACGGCGGGGCGGACGGCGGGGCGGACGGCGTGCTCGTGGTGGGCGTCGAGGGCCGCCCCCCCGCGCTCTCCCCGCGCGACCTCGTGTGGGCGCGCGCGCGCCGCGTGCGGTCGGGCGTGGTGAGCGACGCGCGGTGGTGGTCCGTGATGGACGGCGACCGGTACGTGGGGGACGACGAGGGGGACGAGGGGGCGGAGGGGGACGAGTGGGAGGGGGAGGGGGAGGAAGGGGGGGCTTTTGGGAGGGCGGGGGTGATGGAGGGAGATGAGGGGAGGGGACGGGAGGGGAGAGGGGCAGAGCGCGGGGACGAGTCGGACACAGAGGGGGAGGATGGGGAGGAGGTGGAGGTGGAAATACGGGGCCAGGGGGGAGGTTGGGGGGAAGAGGATGAGGCGGATGGGCGAGAGGGCATGAGGGCAGGGAGGAGGGGCGAGGAGGGGGCGGGCAGCAGGCGGGGGAGGGGCGTGCGGCTGTTCGGGCGGGACTTTGGGCGCAGCCAGGCAGGCAAGGGGGGGGAGGGCGGTGAGGATGCCAACCTGTCAGCGCGGAGCCCGCGGGTGGCAACATCACGTGCTGACGTGGCGGCCGTGAGCGATGCTGGTGACAGCAGGCAGAGGCTCGGTGGGGTGGGTGTGGGCGCTGGCAGCTCTGGTGGTGCGCAGCAGCAGCGGGGCGAGGGCGCACGGGGAGGGGGTGCGGCGGGGTGGCAGGGCGCGGAGGAGATGCGTGGGGCAGGGAGGAAAAAGCAGGAGGGGGAAGAGGAGGAGGAGGAGGGAGGGGAGTGGGCGAGTGGCGAGGAGTGGGCGCGGTACGGCATGGAGGCACCGTTTGAGGGCATCATTGAGCTGGACGGCGATGATGCATGGGGGGCGGGCGCGCACGGCAGGGCGGGCAGGCGGCAGCAGGAGGGTGGTGCAGCAGGTGGGGCGGGCGGGGGCCCCAGCGTGCTGGATGCCTTGCGCCGACAGGTGGTGCCCCGGGGCAGGGAGGGCGACGAGGGGCGGGGTGGGGGCAAGGCAGAGAAGGGGGAGAAGGGGAAGCAGGCGAGCAAGGAGGGTGGCGGGCGGGATGCAGCAGCAGCAGCAGGCAAGGCATCTGAGGGGTCTGGCACGGGCAGGGCAGCGGTGGCAGCGGCGGCGGTGGTGCCCCCCTCACAGCGGGACAACTACGACCCAGCGCTGGCGGACCAGTTCTTCAGCCGCACCTCCTTCGCTCAACTCGCCGCCTCCCCCGCCGCCCTCTCTTCCCTCCACGCGCTTGGCATCACCCGCCCCTCGCACATCCAGGTGGGCAAGTGGAATGGGTTGTGTGCGGTGGAATGGGTTGTGTGCGGTGGAATGGGTTGTGTTCCGTGGAATGGGTTGTGTGCGGTGGAATGGGTTGTGTGCGGTGGAATGGGTTGTGTGCCGTGGAATGGGTTGTGTGCGGTGGAATGGGTTGTGTGCGGTGGAATGGGTTGTGTGCGGTGGAATGGGTTGTGTGCGGTGGAATGGGTTGTGTGCGGTGGAATGGGTTGTGTGCGGTGGAATGGGTCGTGTGCGGTGGAATGGGTTGTGTGCGGTGGAATGGGTCGTGTGCCGTGGAATGGGTTGTGTGCGGTGGAATGGGTCGTGTGCCGTGGAATGGGTTGTGTGCGGTGGAATGGGTTGTGTGCGGTGGAATGGGTCGTGTGCGGTGGAATGGGTTGTGTGCGGTGGAATGGGTCGTGTGCCGTGGAATGGGTTGTGTGCGGTGGAATGGGTTGTGTGCGGTGGAATGGGTCGTGTGCGGTGGAATGGGTTGTGTGCGGTGGAATGGGTCGTGTGCCGTGGAATGGGTTGTGTGCGGTGGAATGGGTCGTGTGCCGTGGAATGGGTTGTGTGCGGTGGAATGGGTTGTGTGCGGTGGAATGGGTCGTGTGCGGTGGAATGGGTTGTGTGCGGTGGAATGGGTCGTGTGCCGTGGAATGGGTTGTGTGCGGTGGAATGGGTTGTGTGCGGTGGAATGGGTTGTGTGCGGTGGAATGGGTTGTGTGCGGTGGAATGGGTCGTGTGCGGTGGAATGGGTTGTGTGCGGTGGAATGGGTCGTGTGCCGTGGAATGGGTTGTGTGCGGTGGAATGGGTCGTGTGCCGTGGAATGGGTTGTGTGCGGTGGAATGGGTCGTGTGCGGTGGAATGGGTCGTGTGCGGTGGAATGGGTTGTGTGCGGTGGAATGGGTTGTGTGCGGTGGAATGGGTTGTGTGCGGTGGAATGGGTCGTGTGCGGTGGAATGGGTTGTGTGCGGTGGAATGGGTCGTGTGCCGTGGAATGGGTTGTGTGCGGTGGAATGGGTCGTGTGCCGTGGAATGGGTTGTGTGCGGTGGAATGGGTTGTGTGCGGTGGAATGGGTCGTGTGCGGTGGAATGGGTTGTGTGCGGTGGAATGGGTCGTGTGCCGTGGAATGGGTTGTGTGCGGTGGAATGGGTCGTGTGCGGTGGAATGGGTTGTGTGCGGTGGAATGGGTCGTGTGCCGTGGAATGGGTTGTGTGCGGTGGAATGGGTCGTGTGCCGTGGAATGGGTTGTGTGCGGTGGAATGGGTTGTGTGCGGTGGAATGGGTCGTGTGCGGTGGAATGGGTTGTGTGCGGTGGAATGGGTCGTGTGCCGTGGAATGGGTTGTGTGCGGTGGAATGGGTTGTGTGCGGTGGAATGGGTTGTGTGCGGTGGAATGGGTCGTGTGCGGTGGAATGGGTCGTGTGCGGTGGAATGGGTCGTGTGCGGTGGAATGGGTTGTGTGCGGTGGAATGGGTTGTGTGCGGTGGAATGGGTTGTGTGTGGTGGAATGGGTTGTGTGCGGTGGAATGGGTTGTGTGCGGTGGAATGGGTCGTGTGCGGTGGAATGGGTTGTATGCGGTGGAATGGGTTGTGTGCGGTGGAATGGGTTGTGTGCGGTGGAATGGCGGAGAAGCCTGTTTGGACAGTGAGTGAGCATGAATTCATTGCTCCGTGTGTGGAGTCAAACCCTGTGCGACCGCACTGCCTTGCCCTGCATGTTCTGCTGCACCCACCGCATCAGCACCTTCTTCTTTTCCCCTCCTCGCCCTTTCCCCACCGCCCTCCTTCGTCCATTGCCTACATCAACCGTCTGCTGCCTTTCCCTGCAAGCTCAACCGTCCGTCCTTCCCCCTCCCCCCCTGGCACCGGTGCACGAGGGCAGGCAGCAGCGTTCCCGTACGTGCTGCGCGGGGCGGACTGCATCATGGCGGACCAGACGGGCACCGGCAAGACACTCGCCTACCTGCTGCCGCTGCTGCAGCGCCTCAAGGCTGACGAACTCGCACGTGCGGGAGGGGGCGAGGGGGGCGGTGGGGAGGGGGAGGGAGGGGAGGGGGAAGGCGGAGGGCGTGCGGGTGGTGCGCGCATGGGAGCAGCGCCGAAGCGACCGGCGGTGATTGTGTTGGTGCCCACCACTGAGCTGGCGAACCAGGTGTGCCCACCACTGAGCTGGCGAACCAGGTGTGCCCACCACTGAGCTGGCGAACCAGGTGTGCCCACCACTGAGCTGGCGAACCAGGTGTGCCCACCACTGAGCTGGCGAACCAGGTGTGCCCACCACTGAGCTGGCGAACCAGGTGTGCCCACCACTGAGCTGGCGAACCAGGTATGCCCACCACTGAGCTGGCGAACCAGGTGTGCCCACCACTGAGCTGGCGAACCAGGTGTGCCCACCACTGAGCTGGCGAACCAGGTATGCCCACCACTGAGCTGGCGAACCAGGTGTGCCCACCACTGAGCTGGCGAACCAGGTATGCCCACCACTGAGCTGGCGAACCAGGTGTGCCCACCACTGAGCTGGCGAACCAGGTATGCCCACCACTGAGCTGGCGAACCAGGTGTGCCCACCACTGAGCTGGCGAACCAGGTGTGCCCACCACTGAGCTGGCGAACCAGGTATGCCCACCACTGAGCTGGCGAACCAGGTGTGCCCACCACTGAGCTGGCGAACCAGGTATGCCCACCACTGAGCTGGCGAACCAGGTGTGCCCACCACTGAGCTGGCGAACCAGGTATGCCCACCACTGAGCTGGCGAACCAGGTGTGCCCACCACTGAGCTGGCGAACCAGGTGTGCCCACCACTGAGCTGGCGAACCAGGTATGCCCACCACTGAGCTGGCGAACCAGGTGTGCCCACCACTGAGCTGGCGAACCAGGTATGCCCACCACTGAGCTGGCGAACCAGGTGTGCCCACCACTGAGCTGGCGAACCAGGTATGCCCACCACTGAGCTGGCGAACCAGGTGTGCCCACCACTGAGCTGGCGAACCAGGTGTGCCCACCACTGAGCTGGCGAACCAGGTGTGCCCACCACTGAGCTGGCGAACCAGGTGTGCCCACCACTGAGCTGGCGAACCAGGTGTGCCCACCACTGAGCTGGCGAACCAGGTATGCCCACCACTGAGCTGGCGAACCAGGTGTGCCCACCACTGAGCTGGCGAACCAGGTGTGCCCACCACTGAGCTGGCGAACCAGGTGTGCCCACCACTGAGCTGGCGAACCAGGTGTGCCCACCACTGAGCTGGCGAACCAGGTATGCGTGGTGTGGTGGGGGAGAGGGAGTGTGTGCACGGGAGCACACCTTGCCTTGCTAGCTAGTGCTTCGATCAATTCATTCATGGTGTCTCTCATCGTCATGCTGCTGGCACCGGCAAGCACATGGGGGGCACATGGGAGGCAGATGGGAGGCACATGTTAGGCACACGGCAGACACATGGGAGGCACATTGCTGTCCATGGTGGACGAGGTCTTTCACACTTTTCCTCTTTCCCTCTCCTCCCTTGCTGCTCAAGGTCCGTCGCTTTGAGAGCTGACTCGAGCTGGCTCTTCGCTATGCACAAATTCGCTCAATAAACAGAACGATATGAAGGCATCGAAGCATTAGAGAAATTGGAGCCGAAGCTAGGGATTCCACACGCAGACTTTGTGAAGGCATGGGGTTTTTCTCAGCCATGGAAGGATATGATAAGCCATGTGTAGCAGTGTAGATACATTCTTCATCGTGAGGTGCTTGTGGTGTTGTATGTGAAATCCACAGATACTGGATTTGTCAAGCTGAACGCGTAAGTATCAAATTTGGGATACGCTATTCCGGGCAGGGAACAATTTCACTCGGGCAGGGTGAAAAAAGTGTACTCCGTATTCTCACTAAGGTGTCCCCTAACATTCTCCTGATTCCGAAAGGTGGGTGGGTTGGGTGGGATGTGGAGCCGACATTATCGCTTGAGAGAGAAGTAGGAGTGGACGGTAATTCTGCTGGAAGCGGGAGTGGATAGGAAATGACGAGCACTTGGGCTGGCTGGTAAGAAGCGTGAGGTTTGTTGGGGTTTTGATTTTGACAAGTTGGAGTTCGTAGGTGAGACGGGGTTCAATGCGGTAGATGAGATGGGTTTCAATGTGTAGTTCCGAAATTCATCTTTCGATTTACCAGATGTGCCTGGAGAATTCGAAGTTAGATCCCCACTTGCCTAGACCACGGATGTGCATTTCGATTGGCGAAATGCTCACAAATCCGCATCTATTTCGGGTTTTTTTTTTTTGGGCAGCCCTAAAACTTTTCTGATTGCGTATAGCATATTCGCAGCGTATAGCGTATAGCGTGTACACGCTAGCGTGTATACGCTAAAGCCCAGAAGCGTATATGCCAACTTAGGTCGCAATGTCTACAACACTTAGTTGTAGTCATTTTGATTGAAATCTGAAAGTCCCTTCCCAACCACCCTACCGAAAAAGCATTCATAATTGCTTCCAAAATTCAAGCATATTGTATATCAAAAGAACCTGGGTGTTTTCTAAGTGTGCAGTACTGCTCAGAATAAGGAGACCTTGTGTCGTTGGATTTTTCTTGATATATTTTGCATGAACGTGCAGTCAAATTTGGAGAAGCACCGAGATGATAGATAGAGTACCTAAAGTTCTATGCATATTGATTTATGCACATGCGAATACGCAAGCATGAGCGATATGCACATTCACCAGGATGGTAACATGGCACGCACGTGTCCCTTCTTACCCTTCAAAGACCCTCGTCACCCACCCCCATCTTCCCCCCTCCCCTTGGCTCTCCCCTTACAGGTGGTGCGGGTGGCGCGGCAGCTGTCAGCGGGCGGCATGAGGGTGCGGTCGGTGGCGGTGACGGGCGGGCACCGGTGGCGCACGCAGGTGGAGGCGCTGGCGGGCGGGGTGGACGTGGTGGTGGGCACGCCGGGCCGCGTGCTGCAGCACCTCGATGCCGGCTCCATGCTGCTGGACGATGTCAAGTGGTGAGAGCATGCTGCTGGACGATGTCACGTGGTGAGAGCATGCTGCTGGACGATGTCAAGTGGTGAGAGCATGCTGCTGGACGATGTCAAGTGGTGAGAGCATGCTGCTGGACGATGTCAAGTGGTGAGAGCATGCTGCTGGACGATGTCAAGTGGTGAGAGCATGCTGCTGGACGATGTCAAGTGGTGAGAGCATGCTGCTGGACGATGTCAAGTGGTGAGAGCATGCTGCTGGACGATGTCAAGTGGTGAGAGCATGCTGCTGGACGATGTCAAGTGGTGAGAGCATGCTGCTGGACGATGTCAAGTGGTGAGAGCATGCTGCTGGACGATGTCAAGTGGTGAGAGCATGCTGCTGGACGATGTCAAGTGGTGAGAGCATGCTGCTGGACGATGTCAAGTGGTGAGAGCATGCTGCTGGACGATGTCAAGTGGTGAGAGCATGCTGCTGGACGATGTCAAGTGGTGAGAGCATGCTGCTGGACGATGTCAAGTGGTGAGAGCATGCTGCTGGACGATGTCAAGTGGTGAGAGCATGCTGCTGGACGATATCAAGTGGTGAGAGCATGCTGCTGGACGATGTCAAGTGGTGAGAGCATGCTGCTGGACGATGCCACTTGCACACCTCACTTGTCACCAGCCCTCTCACAACCCAGCCCTCTCACAACCCAGCCCCCTGTCATGGTGCGCACGCGTGTGCATGTGCTGTGCGGTGCAGTGTGGTGGTGGACGAGGCGGACATCATGTTTGACGACGACGACTTCAGTGCCGCCCTCAAGCCCATCCGCATGGGGTGCTCGCGGGCATGCCAGGTGGTGCACGTCACGGCCACGCTGCCAGCGGACGTGCACCAGCAGCTGCTGCAAGAGTACCCCACCGCCGTCTCCCTCATCGGCCCCTCCCTGCACCTCACCTCCTCCGGCCTGCACGAGGTGCGCTCCCTGCCATGCCATGCCATGCCATGCCATGCCATGCCATGCCATGCCATGCCATGCCACCATGCCCACCACTCGCCAGTCACAGCACCACCATGCCCACCACTCGCCAGTCACAGCACCACCATGCCCACCACCGCATTCCGCTGCAAGAGGCTTGCTCGAAGCACCCTCCCCACCCCCCCCCCCCCCCCTCCCCCCCCCTCCCCCCCCCCCCCCCCCCCCACAGGTGCTGGTGGACTGCTCGCAGGCGGAGGGCGAGCAGCGCTCGGAGGAGGGCGGCTTTGCACGCAAGCGGGCGGCGCTGCTGCAGATTGTGGGGGCGAGCAGGGGCAGGCGCAGGGGGGACGCGGAGGGCGAGGAGGGGGAGGGGAGTGTGGGCGCAGTGAGAGAAGGCGAGGAGAGCAGCGTTGGTTCAAAGAAGACGATCGTGTTCTGCAACAAGGTGTGCTGCTCTGCTCCTTCTTGCACTGTGCTCCATTGCCTTGGCACCTGTGCTCCATTGCCTTGGCACCTGTGCTCCATTGCCTTGGCACCTGTGCTCCATTGCCTTGGCACCTGTGCTCCATTGCCTTGGCACCTGTGCTCCATTGCCTTGGCACCTGTGCTCCATTGCCTTGGCACCTGTGCTCCATTGCCTTGGCACCTGTGCTCCATTGCCTTGGCACCTGTGCTCCATTGCCTTGGCACCATTGGCTAACACCCATCGTGCAATGATGCACTCCTCGTTGCACTTTCTTCAGTCTGATTGAATGCCATTCCTTCCTTGCCCTCACACCATTCGTTCTCATTCTCTCTCTCTGCCTGCCGATGTGTGCGCATGTGCCTGTGAGTACATGGTGTTAGCATGTGTATGTGTGTCCACTGCACGTGTGAGTTTATGTCTGTTGTTTCTTTGTGTGTTAGCATGTGTGATCACGTGGTTGCATGCTGGTGCATGGTTGTGCATGTGTGATCACGTGGTCATCAGATAGAGACGTGTCGCCGGGTGGAGAACGTGCTGGTGAGGGCGGACCGCCAGCAGCGCCGCTACAGAGTGCTCGTGTGCCACGCGGGCATCGCCCCCGACGCACGCCGCCAGGCCTTGGAGCAGCTGCTCGCGCCCAACCCGCCCCTGCCCCTCATCCTCGTCTGCACTGACCGGTACTGCCGCCTGCACCCACCTGCTCGCCCTGCCTCTGCGTAGCATTTTCTGCCTCTCTCCATCTCTCTCTATCTCTCTCAGCCTCTCCCTATTTCTCGCTGCCTCTCTCTACCTCTCTCTGGTGTTCAGTGTCGGCACTTTGGAGTGCCATTCCTGGTGCGGGGCCTGCACACCCCTGCCCCCTCATGTTCTCCCCATCCTCCGTGTCATATCGCCCCCCCTCCTCCCCCCCCCCCTCCCTCCCCCCCTCCCGCTCACGGTGCATGGCAGGGCGTCGCGCGGCATAGACAGCATCGACGTGGACCGAGTGGTGCTCTTTGACTTCCCGCGCGACCCCAGCGAGTACGTCCGCCGCGTGGGCCGCACCGCCAGGGGAGCGGGCGGCACGGGCACGGTGTACGTGTTCGTGCAGGGCGGGCAGGTGGGGCTGGCTCGCCGCATCATGACCCGCAACGACCGCGGGCTGCCCGTGCATGAGGTGCCCGACAGCTTCTTCTGATGCCACTGGTGGGGCCTTTGATGGCTTGTATTGAATACACTACACTGGCGCAAGCTATGGTGTGTTACGCAGATGAGAAATGCCCAATAATTGTCTCTTATCAAAGTTACATCTACTTGGACATTGAGTAGCGACATGTGATGAGCAGAGCAGAGCTGTCTTATATAGATATTCTGGTTGTTACGTCAAGAAATTGTCTCATAAAGCACCCGAAAAAACATTCTCAGCTATTGTGAAAGCTTTCTTACGGTAATCCTCTTGCAAAGGCAGCATGCTTCATTCCAGATGGTGGTACGAGGCCCTCAGATTCACTTTTAGCAACCCTGATGCATCAGGGTCGCTCTGAGAGAAAATGCTGATTGACCGTGTTCCTTCAAAAAAAAAAACAAGAGGCGACTAGGTCGTTCTAGGGTTGCGAAGCATTGTAGATGAAACTTACTCGAATTGTTGTATGAAACTTACTCAAATAGTGTAGTATGAATACAAATTGGTACTTCCTCTTTCCTAAAAAATGGTTCGAAACTTTCCAGCACTTGGACCAAACTGCCGACCTTTCGATTCCAAGTACAGTTTCAACCGACTGGGCAGCACAGCTGTATTATGAGGGCAACGTATACCACACGTTCATAGTTTTTGCTGTCAAATTGTTATTTGTTGTGTAGGCTGTAGTGGGGTACTCAACAGTGAGTACAACCTTTTCAGGGTTTCCTATATGTATCCCACGGTGGGCTAGTTCAAACCCCTCTTCTTCATTCCTTCTTCTAAACTACTGTCAACATTTGCGACGAATCTGTCACACCTTATCCCATTTGTTCCACATTTCAATTCTAAACTGACACAATACATAATAACTTTGCGAAGCACGTGTTAAACTGATTTGATACATCCAGTATCAATTTTCAGCAAAAACCCAACTAGCAAAAACCCCTCTTCACATGATCATTTGCTAGGTTTCTATGCGTTTTTGTGGTACAATTTTGCAGCTTATCCCATTTGTTCCACATTTGTCTATTCCTATGTTCTTTTTATTGCTCATTCTTTCCAAACAGACCTTGTTGTATTCCTCGGGAATGAAGGTTAATTTGGACGGTGCAAAAATACAGACGGTTCCGTGTAGGATTATATATATGTTTGCTAGGGTTTAATTTTGCTTCTAGTTTTTCCTTTTAAACAGTTGATGCATTGAGCTTTTATGTTTGTGTGAATATGTGTGATTATGTGTATGCGTTTGTATGTGTCTAGGCTGTCAGAACATTATAGCTCATGCATATTGTGTAGGCTATAGTGGGGTAGCCCATAAGGGGTACAACCCAATTAGGGTTAGTACTTGTACCCAATTCATTCATAGTTCATTCATTCCTTGTTTCTTCTCATGGTATCGAGCAGGTTCCCTAGTGGGAACGCTTCCTAGGGCCCACCACGAATTTTTTTTTTTTTCCTGCCCGGAGCGCGCTTCGCTCCCACAGTCGCGCCCTCTCACGACCCCTCACGGCCCCTCGCGTCGCCCTTAGCGGCCCCTTACGGCCCCTCGCGCCGTCCCTTACGGCCCCTAGCGCGGCCCCTTACGGCCCCTTACGGCCCCTAGCGCGGCCCGTCGGCCCCTTACGGCCCCTTACGGCTCCTAGCGCGGCCCCTCGTGCCGCCCGTCGGCCCCTTACGGCCCCTTACGGCCCCTCGCGCGGCCCCTTACGGCCCCTTACGGCCCCTCGCGCCGCCCGTCGGCCCCTTACGGCCCCTTACGGCCCCTCGCGCGGCCCCTTACGGCCCCTTACGGCCCCTCGCGCCGCCCGTCGGCCCCTCGCACCGCCCTCCGCGGCCCCTCGCGCCGCCCCTTCACGGCCCGTCGCCGCCCTCCGCGGCCCCTCGCGCCGCCCCTTCACGGCCCGTCGCCGCCCTCCGCGGCTCCTCGCGACGCGGCCCCTCGCACCGCCCACTCCGGCCCACTGTCGCCGCCCCTACCGCAGCGGCCGCCGCCGTCCCTGCAGCAGCAGCCGCAACCGTCGCCAGCAGCAGCCGCCACCACCTCCCTCGGGGCCGCGGCTGCTGCCGCAGCTGACTGCACCCGCCGACGCCGCTCCACTCGGCCCCGCCGCCGCTCCCCACGCGGCCTCGCCGCGCCACCTGAGCCGCCCGGGCCTGCCGAGCCGCCGTACCGCCCGAGCCGCCGTACCGCCCGAGCCGCCCGAGCCGCCGTGTCGCCGAGCCGCGCTTGCTGCCGAGCCGCCGTACCGCCGAGCCGCCCGAGCCGCCCGAGCCGCCGAGTTGCAGAGCCGCCGAGCAGCTGAGCCACCCGAGTCGCCCTGTCCGGTAAGTGCAGCGCCTCTGTCCCTGCACTGCCCTCACCCTACTGTTAGCGCTGCTAGTCTACTGCTGTCATGGCTACCCCTAGTGTCCTCGCCTTTGACGCTGAGGGTCGGGCCATTGACTTTGACGTCTGGGTAGATGACCTGCAGCTTTTCCTACAGTGCGATAGGGCAGACGGTCTCTCCCTCTTTGACCTCACCTCTGGTGCCTCTCCTGCCCCTGCTGCTGATGCCGACGCCACTGTTCGCTCACATTGGGCCACTCGCGATGCTGCTGCACGTCTTGCTGTGCGTCGCCACCTGCCTACCTCTGAGCGTGCGCACTTTAGCCAGTACAAGAGTGCTCACACCTTGTACGACGCTGTAGTTGCGCGCTACTCCTCCCCTGCCACTGCTGCACTGAGCCGCCTCATGCTACCGTACCTCTTCCCTGACCTTGCTGCCTTTCCCACAGTCGCTGACCTCATTACGCACCTCCGCACTAGTGACACTCGCTACCGCGCTGCGCTTCCTGCTGAGTTCTGCGCCAAGAACCCCCCCCCCCATGTACATCACCCTCTACTACATAGTCACCCGGCTCCCTGACTCCCTTCGCGTAGTCAGGGACCACTTTCTCTCCGTTTGCCCCACCACTCTCACCGTTGACCTCCTCGAGAAGTCCCTCCTAGCAGCTCAGAAGAGCATAGTCGCTGTAGGAGCCTCTCGTGGTGACCCTCGCACCCCCATCTTTGAGGGGTGTTCCCCCTCCCCCCTTTTGCCCTCTGTTGCCTCTGCTGCTGCGGCCGACCTCGTTGGGCTTGAGTCGGTCGGTGCGGCGTCTACCCCTAGCGGGAGACGTCGCCCTGGCAAGGGCAAGGGGGGCAGGGGCACTGGAGGAGCTAGCGGGGGCGGTGGAGGTGGCGGTGGAGGCGGTGGAGGGGGTGGGGGTGGTGGTGGGAGTGGTGGCGGGGGCGGAGGTGTCGGTGGCGGCAGTGGAGGCGGAGGCGGCGGTGGCGGTGGCGGTGGGAGCGGAGGTGGCGGCGGTGGAGGAGGAGGCGGCGGAGGAGGTGGAGCTGGTCGGGGTGGCGCTGCACAGAGGGGCGGCTCCGGTGGTGGTCAGCGCCAGCAGCAGCAGCAGCAGCAGCGCACTCGTGACATCCCCTCCCCTCAGCAGCTCCGTGAGTGGTACACTGCACGCCAGAGGGGTGGGGGTACTGGCCCGTGCACCTACGTCCTACGCACCGGCGACCGCGCGGGTGAGCAGTGCGGGGGTGCGCACTCCACCCAGCGCTGCTTTGGCCGCCTGACGGACGCTTGGCGTCACCAGTTCCCTGAGGCCACTGAGATCCCCCGCTGGGGTGAGCTGTCTAGGGCGGGTGTAGCTGTCTTTGACCTTGACTTTGATGCTATTCTTGCTGCCATGTATACTGTGACTATTAGTGATGAGGGTGACTGTTACCGGTGTTTTCCGCCCGACCCGGGCATTGAGACTGCTGCTCTAGGTACTGGTGAGGCTGCTGCTCTAGGTGCTAGCGAGGCTGCTGCTCTAGGTGCGTCTGCTCCCTCAGGTGCTGGTGAGTCTGCTCTCTCAGGTTCTGCGTCGGCTTCGGCCTCCCACACCTTCACCCTTGACTCGGGGGCTTCTCGCTCCTTCTTTCGAGACCGCACCACACTCACGCCGCTTGGCCGGCCAGTTGCGGTCTCTCTGGCAGACCCCTCTGGGGGTCCTGTCCTTGCTCACTTCTCCACTGTCCTCCCGTGTCCGGCGGCCCCCTCTGGCACCCTGTCTGGTCTTTACCTCCCCTCGTTCTCTACGAACTTGGTGAGTGGTGCTGACCTACAGGATGCGGGGGTTCACCAGTTCACTCCTGCGAGTCAGCGGGTGACCCACTGCACGGACGCTCGGACAGGCCGACACCTGGCCACGTTTACCCGTCGGCTGGGGTCGAGCCTGTACACCCTGACCACTGCGTCTCCTCCAGTCACTGCGTCTGGTCAGGTAGCTGCGTCGGGTCAGGTGTTTGCTGCAGCGTCCAGGTCTGGTCCTGAGTCTGCCCCCTGTTCGTGTCGCCTCCTGTCTCACGAGACTCTCCTCTGGCACCACCGCCTTGGTCACCCCTCCCTGCTTCGTCTCCGAGGCATGGCCTCCCGTGTCCTTGTCTCTGGTCTTCCCCGGTCCCTCCCTCCCCTTCCTCCGGGGCCAGGCCCTACTTGCGTCCCCTGTGTCGAAGGACGGCAGCGGGCTACCCCTCACTCCTCCCAGTTTCCTCCGACAGAGGCCCCGCTGCAGACGCTTCACATGGACGTGTGGGGCCCGGCCCGCGTCCGTGGACAGGGTCACAAGCGCTACTTCCTGCTGGTGGTTGACGACTACTCGCGTTACACCACAGTCTTCCCCTTGCGCAGCAAGGGTGATGTCACTGAGGTGTTGATCGACTGGATCCGCGCAGCTCGTCTCCAGCTCAGGCGGAGCTTCGGCTCGGACTTTCCTGTTCTGCGTCTGCACTCTGACAGAGGCGGAGAGTTCTCCTCTGGCCTTCTGCGAGCCTACTGTCGTGCACGAGGCATCCGCCAGACCTTCACGCTTCCGGACTCTCCACAGCAAAATGGGATTGCTGAGCGCCGCATTGGCATGGTCATGGACGTCGCCCGTACGTCCATGATGCATGCGGCTGCCCCCCATTTTCTGTGGCCGTTTGCGGTTCGGTACGCAGCGCA